ATTACTCCAGTCTTCAGTGTCACATGATCCTTCAGAAATCATAATAATATGCTGATTTGCTGCTCAGCAAACATTTTTGATTATTATCAGTGTTGGAAACAGTTGTTTAATATTTTAGGTTTTTTTAGGATTGTTTGATAATTATATAGTTCACAAGAACAGTATTTATTTGAAATAGAAATGTAAAATTTAATGGAATAAATATCTAAATTAATACATTTTAATGGTTAAAATTGCTTTGATTTCACTGGCTGAATACTTGCTTGATACTTTGAGTAGCTTTAGCCAATAATAAATCATATATAAATATATATACTGTATATTATAATATAAAAACAATAAATACATAAATACATTTCTTTCTTTGTGTTTGCAGTATGCGAAACTCCATCACATCCAGACAAATATCACTAGAAACTTAAGCTGCTAATTTTATTTTGCTTTAGCAGGGTACTCTTTAATTATGACTAAATTCAGGATCAAAATTAGTGCAAGAAAGCATCTCTTGATTTTTTGGGATGACGCTAGCTAGACATGATTAGATGCCAAAGCAAAGCAGCGAATTGGATGCAACCACTGGCATGCATGTTTCTGAGTCTGCAGTGCAGAGATGCATGTTCTTCAGCGGTGTGTGATGCATATTCAACATCACCACAGTGAAGAAACACCACATCTCTCTCTCTCTCACCATATCCTGCCATGGAGATGATAAAACTCTGTCCTCTGTATCTCCTCAGAGTTATCCAGCCCTCTGGGCACAGAGTGAGTAAAACAAACACACACACACACACACACACACACACACACACACACACACACACACCTCTCAGGGTTAGTTAGCACCCTGAGAAACTACACACACACATCTATCATGAGCTTTAAATGGATATATACTCATTAGACCATACATTACACTCCTAAAAACACTCATTATCAATACAGCCCTTGACACACAGATCAAATTATATGCATCATGTCAGTCAAGAGCCATTTCTATTTAAATCAATATGAGATTAAACAAAATTTTGTCAGGCTGAGCCAATATAGGAGAAATAATGTATTTTAATCAAAGAACATGTCAGTTTGGGAATATGTCGTGATGCTGCTAAAAAATTCAGTGGCCCCCCAAAAATATTTGGACACCTACAAATGTCTCAGTGTGGTTAACTGACTTTATATATAACACTTCATGTCAATAAAGTGTCCAGATACTTTTGTTGTTGTTGTTTTTTATGCTTGAATATGATTTATACTTCCCAATAAATCATATTTATATATCCTAATAAACTAAAGTAAACTCACTTTTCCATTTAAGTTGTCTTGAAATCAATGAAAAAAAGATTTCTCTAAAATGCTCAAGATGATGTTTCTTACCTGCTTTGGACCGCATTGGTTCTTCCATTGGCATTTCCTGTAAGAATATTAAAGAATCATACTAAAAATAACAGAGCTGTTCGTTCTAATTGTAAGCGTACACTATACTCAAGCGGTGTAGATGCTGTTCTGTGGATTATCAAATAACCTATCGCAGCACCCAGGATCCCTCAGCACATCACCTGTAATCATGTCCACCTGTGTTTCTTTGTGGCCTTGAACTGCACTAATGGCTTTTTTTGACATTCTAATTTCTTTTTTCAACCAGTTAAAACAAACATCTAGAGAAGACCTACCTGCCATAGCCGGTTTCTGACATATCCGAAGTGATTTTCAAACCTTCCTAGCTGTCCTGAGGTTAATAATTCACTAGAATTTGATAAGTTCCTGTGTGAGCGCTTCAGAGAGGAAGCAGTGTGCACACATGATCAGTCCTAGCAACAAGCACGGGTGCAATTTAACACTTACAAACAGCTGGATGATGGGTTAAACCATACGAAAGGCAATCATTTTAAATGCAATGCAGAATTTGTGAAGACGGACTTTAAAAAGGAAGGTCAAAATGCAAAACTTAATGGTCCTTAAAAATAACAAATAACAACCTATTTCAGATGATAATAATACCTACGGTAGTTGCTGGAATGCATGCGGCATCAAAATATTCACAGCATCCATTACAAAACATTTTTCGATAAAACCTGCATAAACAGAAACTGCAACCATCCAAACAAATACAGCTTGCTAAGCTAATACGCTACGATGTCATGCACAATGTAGGCGGTGTATTGGTCAGTGTGTCATCCAGGCAGCTATTGTGTTGCCAACCCACTTTCCATTCAGTGCACAAACATGTTTACAGGGTTTGGTTTCTGGGCCGCAGCACAACATCATTGAAGATTGAGCCATTAGACAGATGAATGGTGCACTCGTTTAGCAAACGCTGAGTCTAATGCAGCGAATCTAATGCCGTGTCTGTTGTCTGATCAATTATAACACGGTTGTGAATGTGTTTGGCTTTAACAAACAATAAATCAGAAAACAGATTGATATGTTCTGTGTTAACGTTTGCAGAATTCATATTATCTGCTGTAACTCATTGGTACAGAAAGGGTCATTATGTTCTCTCTCGGCCTAGATAAACTGAGCCTCTAGTGGCCACAAAGAACCCTCATGAGAAAAGACGAGACTCTCATTAATATGATGCGGTCAGTTACCAGACTTCAGCAAAATGAACTGCTGCTATACTCGCAGATTAGCAATTTTAACATCCAAGCAATATAACAAGAGAAATTCAATGACAGCGTCTGCAAATGACACACAGCTCACATTTAGACAATGATATTAAAATAAATGCATGATATGTATCGCCACAACTTGAACTCTGAAACTATAATTAATAATGTTTAAATTTGCCTATTTTTTTTTTACATCTACCTAAATGCTCCATTTATATAAATAAAACACCATGCTGTCAGTGTCTGTATATTTAAATAAAATAAATAAACAGTGTCCCTACACTGTTGTTGTACTCTCGCTTAATAAAAGTATTAATTTCTTTACACTGACAAAACATTTCTGAATGGTAATATATAGCCTAGGCATATTAATAATGCATAATGCAAATGCCCTCGACGCCAAGCGTTTTTCAATAATTCGATGGACCGGAGTCAATTATTCCACTTATTATATTAAATCACTGTTACCACAACTAAAAACATATTGCCTACATATATATAGACTTGAGCCGTTGGTATGCAGGTATGAGAGAGACAGAGAGACATTAAGCGTGTGTGAATTAGCCTACCTGTGCGTCTCTAAACTGTAGCGTCTGTACTAATAGCGAATCTGTAAGTTTAACTGCATCAAAAACAGCGACGTTACCCCCTCAGCTTTTCAGTTACGATTCTTGCAAACTATTTAATCTATAAAGTCGATGGCAGGGTAGCGCGGCGCTGTCAAGAAGTGTGCATGAAAGCGAGAGCAGGAGAAAGCATTTTATTATCCATATATAGTTAAAGAAAAACATGTAAATTGTTTGTCATTCATTCGTTTGTTTGCTGCTTTGTGAATTTTGGCTCATCGACTGTAGGCTGTAAGGTATGGAACTTGAAATAATTTGGCGAAGTGATATGGACATGTAATATGGTCGACAGACCTGGAACTACTTCCTCTGCGTTTCCCGGAAAATAATTGCATATTTATATATTTAACCGCCTAGTGGTGTGTATGAATGAATGAATAAATAGTAAAACTTTAGATTAGTGAACTCATGTTCACTATTAATTATAAATATAATAGTTTTCCCTCAATAAACTCATAATTTGCTTATTAATAGTAAGAATTGTAGTGGTTATGTTTAGGTATGGGGTCAAATTAGGGATCTAGAACATATAAAGCACATATTTCAATGCCTTATTCTGCATGATAAGTACTAATAATCAGCCAATCATGCAAATATGCATGCTAATAAGTGTTCCCTAATTGAAAGTGTTACTAACTAAATAAATTAATTTGATTTAATATCTTAATAAACATGTTTGCATAACCAGCTGGCAGCTGGTGAGTGCAAATTTTTATTTCAATATGTGGATTGTACAAATGTAACAACATTTCTGGATTAAATGTTTGGACAAATGAGGGGGGGGAGGGGGGCAGAACAAAAACACACAGGCATATCAGAGCATCTGTGTATTTTATTCACATATGTTACATTTTGCATTAAATGTCATTAAAAGTCACCCTTTCTGAGATGACATCATAAAGTCTGAATCAGCACCTACAGTAATGTACTGTATTACTGCCTGCCTGACAAGCATTCACCGCAGGAGAACACACCAGCATTATCTACCCATCACACTTAGCACAACTGTCTGTCTATACAAAGTGGGGAAGGAGAGAAAAGAACTCAAAGAAAAAACAAAAACAGCAGCATGCAAGAAATCAAGACAAAATAAAGAAAAGAAGCAAACTTCAAGTGCACTGAAAACATCCTCCCTCCAGCATGGCATTATTGCGGCAATGATAATCAATACTTACCAATCAAACTGATCAATACAAATCAAACATGCTTTTTTTTTTTTTTTCTTCTTTAAATCAGTGCTTAAGTGTCTGAATATGTGTATATGTGCGTGTTGTGTTGGGGGTGCGTCTGTCTTCAGTAAGAAACAAACAAAAGGCAAAATGCCCTCAATATAGCCGGATGTTGCATGTATCACTATAATAGCACTTAATATTATTATTACAATGGCTCCACTGATGTCATTATTTTGATTGTGACGCACAACCAAAATAGACATACAAAACATCAGACGGGAAAATGAATTTGTGTATTACATTTCTATATACAATTAAATCAAATAGGATGAGACAATTTTTTCCTTTTTTTTTTTCTCCAAGAACTCTCAATGTGGTCACGCAAGGCAAATCACTGTAAGGTTTAGACTGGGGTCATTTTATGTTAAAGTGAAGCTTGATCTTAATTTTTAAGGGGACAAGGATGAAAAGAGGGAGTACTAAAATTAAACCACTTGGTAACATAGGAGCTGCATAAAATAAATAAATTGTGTGCCATACCATACATGTCCATCACTGCACTGGGGTACAATATTCAATTTGATGTGATCCAGTTTAATGCATTTTCAAATAATTAACTTGTGCATACATAATGCCCTCTCCACAGTTACAGATTACACAATCAATGATGGTCCGAGGACAGAGCTTTGAGGAACACCACATTTATGGGACTGGAAAACTAGCCTTCGCTAAATGTATATTTGTGTAAAGTACCTTTCTAGTAAAGTTTCTTCTTTTTTTCCCCTCTTTTTTTTTTTTTTTTTTTTTACTTTTTGATAACATTAAAACGGATCTTTTCTTTTCCTTTTTTTTGGTCTGATTCTTTTTCATAAAGGATCTATACACCATCTGGCCGAGTTCAAAGATGTAGAACAAAGTGACAACCCCTTTTCTCAGGAACACTTCAGATCAGGAATTCAAGATATTGAATGGTGTGTGCATCAAAATATCACAACAACACAAATAATAATGTATTTAAACAACAGAAAACTTCACTACCTGCAAAATCCTAGAGGAGGAGAAATTGGACTCCGGCGGCCAATTGCTACCAACAGACCAGCCATCAAATGGCTCTGAGAATCTGTATGATGAGACTCTCTGAACCAGAGCTCAGTGTAATGGCAAACACTGCCCCCTATGGACCATCGGACACCAGTCCAGAAAGTATCATTTAATTAGAATATGGGAAAGACAATCAAAACTTTGAGTGACAACTGACTTGGTGGGTGTGTGGCAAGATAAGTTTGGCTATAGTTCGGAGAATCTCAGGAAATCTGTCAATATTCACAGATCACTATTTCACCCTTAACCAAAAGAAAGAAGAAATTATATTTTGCAATAATAAAAAAGCAGATTTTTAGAACCATAATTGTATTGCATTATTTTCCAGACAAATTAAACATCTGCCCACTCTTTACAGTAAAAAAACAAAAAAAGGAACCTACTGAGGGGAAAAACACATTAAGATGGTTTGCAGTAATAAGAATTTGGGGCAAATTGTGTTGGTGGTGAAAATGATACAAATCATCTTTATTCTAAAACCAACTTCATTTTCTTAATGGAAAAAAAAACAAAAACACTTTTTTTTTTAATTAAGTTTTATATCTTTTTAGTTGACCTTTATGACCTTTATCTCAGGGAAAGGGCCACCGATCATTATATAAAGACTAGCTCTGTCTCTAGCCATTAAATATAATGTGCTACAAGGTTGCAGGGGAATATTTTAATAATAAACTAAACAGACCACCCAACCACCATCAAAAACAGAGCCTTCATTAGAAGAAAAGAAAAAAAAAAAACGAAAATTGTAAAAATATATATATATTTTTTTCAAAGGTATAATTTACTTTATTCAAACAATGAATAGCAGCACTTCTTAAATATTAAAATCTTTTATCTGAGACCAGCAAAACAAAACAAACAAACAAAAACAAAAAAAGAAATTATAAAATAAAATTCCTGAGGATGACAGCAACTACACCTCGAGTCAGAGAGAAATCTCACTTTAGCTCTAATCGGTTGATATTTCGTCTCATACCCTGCTTTAGACCCCACAGTTAGTCTTATGAGATGTGTTTCAGCTCAAATAGCATGATGTGGTGGTGGGTGGATATGTTGAGAGTCTCGGTACCTTTAGCATTCAAGGTTTTGATATTAATTCTGATATCTATACATGATTTGTTTAACATTGGTCAAAATTGTTTTTTGTTTTTTTTCCTCAAGAATCTCTCTCCTCAAAATCTATTTCAGTTTTCCAAACATTACAGAACCGGAGTATTATTCCACTTGTGCGTCCAACAGACTAGACACAGATTCACTCAGTGTGCTTTCACTTTGAGCTTGCTGGGACAAAACAAAATTCTCTCCCTATAAATCCACACGGAAAATCACTTTTGAACACACTCACGCGCACACACACACGCTGTTAGTCAATAGGCTTGATTGTACACTAAACTTCACATGAACCCAGGCTGTGGCCAACTCAATGCAGGTTTTCTTTATATTACACGATAGAAATCATCAGAGGATGTCACAGAGGCTGGCACTGGCATCATGTGACCTGTCCTCTCCAGGTTATGGGCTGTACTGTTAAAGTCCATTGTAATGGGGACCCCAGCGCTTGTTGATATGGTCGAAGGTGTGCGAGACCCACTGCTGCTCCAGAACGCGGTATCTCTCCTCACATAAATACAGAGGCTTTCCTCGACTATGGAACAGAAAAAAAACAAGAGCTTACAGCAGGAAATGAAAACAATTTTCTCTATAAAAGAAATGAACAGGCAAATAAACTTAAATCCACAAATAAATGACTACTAAGCAGGGAAAGTACGCCACAAAAATGAACAAAAACGTCCCCCAATTTTAAGATAAGGGAACACGGATGTCACGAGTAAGATAATGTCAACATGAATTAAAAACTTGATCTGAAAATGCTGATTTTTCGGCAGTACATTTAAATCGGCTCACATTGCAGCAGATTTCTTTTTATGCATTTTTTGCAGCATTGAGCATTATAACCAATCACGTGTTTCTGTTGAGTTATGAAGTAATGGCCAATCGGAGGCGTTTAGTCAACTGTGAAAAAAACCGTTTGACCGAATTCTGCACTCTCGTGAATTCTTCACAAACAAAGTTAACAGCTTCGATGTCTGTAACAGGATTTTTTTGCAAGAGCGCAGAACTCAAATCATTGGCTGCTTCAGTGATAGCGGACATTCTTTGCAAGCTTTCTGTATATAATTTATTCCTAGTCTTGAATAACCATTGTGTTTTTCACGCTACTAAGATAACCAATTTGGCCTTGATTTTTGAATGCATAAAAAAGCAATAAAAATGAATTCATAAACGGTTCTCAGCTTGTTTTGTCCGTGTAGCCGAATGTGACATGATGTTTCCCCAAACACAAAAATGTTTATGTATTCTATTATGTACTCTAGGGTTGTGACGGTGAGGAAATTTTCCCACCGGTTAATCGACGTGTGACAACACCGATAATACCGGTATCACCGTGGGGGCGTTCCCTCTTTTTCTCGCTTTCCTTCGCTTTTAAATAGCTTGTAAAAGCTGCGTGCGCATTTTACTTTCACTTTCAAATAGCGGCAATTCGGCGTAAAGCAATATGTACTCTAGTATAATCAACATTAGAAATCATTACTACAACATCAAGAGTAATAACAGACAATAATGTCATAAAAATGCAGCCCTAACATGTAACAAGCTTTTTTTTTTTTTTTTATAATAACGTGTGCCTGTTCAGAATAAATTGTATTAGCCTGAAGGGGTTTATTCTGAGATAACAACAGGCTGGATGTACATTATCCCGCTTATTACATGGCTACTTGCTACATAAGTAAATAACTAGACGCGAAATATTGATTTGAGTTTAAATATTTGAACGCAAAGCTTCCGTGAAGACAGCAGTTGCGAGCAAGCGGCAAATTCAAACTAGACGGACATTTAAGGAAAACGGTGCAGTCAAACCACTTATTACACAACATTTCACCACAAAAATAATTAAGGCAATAAAAGAATTAAGACGAAAATGTTTTAAAACCTTACCAGTTTGTTAGTTCTCTTATAATCCATTACAGCGTACAAAACAATCGTAGCAAAATGGCAGCAGCTGCGTTTGTATGAAACGAGAGCGAGTCCGCGATACCAGGATGACATAATTAAATAATTGTACACCATTTTGAATCGAGTTTTAATATTTTATTAGCTAAACAAACGCAAAGCTTCCACCAAGAAAAAATAGTTCAAGCAAGAGTACAGCGCCGACTGCTGTTACCCGGATGAGCCTGTGTTATTAGCTTTTACCGGTTGTTATCGAGGGATAGCATACCTCGGACTGTTGCGACTGACCAATCAGAATCAAGTATTCCACAGAGCCGTGTAATAAAGCAATTATAAAAACTGCCCTTACAAGCATCACCCCTTAATGGAAAAGCTCATTTCTGCCCTGGCTACTGGGACCCTCAGAATAGCTGCAGAATAGAGCAGCGAGAGGTTTACCGTAGGTCTCTGTCCTCCTCTCCATGAGCGTCCAGATATACAGACCCCCACAGACAGAAGCGATGGCCTCGGATGATAATGATGACCGAGGCGTTAATCAGGAGGAAGATACCGGTCGCTGCTCCGCAGTGCTGAGAGTGCTTTGGATTAAAAATCATTATAATCCTGATTATAATCAGTCGTACAGATCATTCAAACTGAAACTTGCAGCGTTTGCTACACACTCACCAGCACACACTCACAGACGCCCTGCTGTTTACAGCAGTGACCCTTCAGACAGACAAACGCGCCGCACACCAGGCACAGCGCAGGGTCTTTGGGGGTCTTGCCGCAGCTGGTGCAGGATTTCCTGTGGTAGTACTGGAAGATGGTGTTGTAATTGTCTGGCAGGTGCAGGAGACGAGGTGCGGCCCACTGCAGATCCTGACCTAATAGAGACTGAAGAGATGCAAGAAAATCACTCAGATGTCTGATTAAATTTCCTTTCACTGTCAGTCAAAGCAATCTTTTTGCTTTTTAACATCTTATAAAAAATGTGAAGGTGCAATATCTAATTTCTGTCCATCTTCCACTGGAAGATGTTGCTGTGTCAGCCTGGTCAAAATGCTCAAACCTGACAAATGTTTCAGTTTTTAATGTACATTTTTCTAGGGAATCAAACTACACATCTTGTATTTCACTCTCCATATTAAAGTTACCATGAAATTAAAATAACCGTTCTGTTTTTTATGGAATGATAATCTTTAATCAAAAATATTAACATGGTGAAAAAATAAAAATGGTAGTGCAAAACATCCACCCAACTTGAATCTAATCTTTTTAACATTAGTCAAAGTCTTGTCCTAATCAGCCACGACTGTGACAAAATCCAAGATATTTTGCAGCTTAGTGTCTTTGTTGTTTTGCAGCATGACATCTGATTGGTTCAAACCCTGCTCTACAATGTTGTATACTAAATATCAAATGTGATGCTTATTGACACAGGTCATGCTTGGTTATAGGTCACAGTGGTTAACAGTATTAAATACAACTAATTAAATCACTGGTGTTAGCAACACTTCAAATAGAACAGGGTGCAAAGAAACATGACCTAGGAGACACAAACACTGACCACAGACTGCTGGGTGGGAGTATCGGACAGAGCGATGACTTCTGAACACCACTGACTGATCAGATCGATAGCATTGAGGTTCCACTCCAGACACGCTGCACTGCTCGAGGCTCCACTGGACTGAACAGAACCAGACAAACCCAGACACCCGGCCAGCAGAGAGAACTCCTCCTCCACCTGTGACCACAGACACCCGGCAGTTAGTAACCGGGCTGTAGTATTAGTGGGTTATAGTATTTGAAACTAGCTTTAGATAAAAACAGCAGACAGCAGATTAAGTGTGTGTGTACCAGGCAGCCGGGTAAGCCGTCTCCATACAGGTGGTGCTGCAGTAAACAGGACAGTCTCAGGAAGGGCAGACAGAACTGCTGTAGGCTGAACTCAATGGACTGAGGAGACCACACACTGGAGCTCAACTACAGAGAGAAGACATCATTAAAAACAGCTCATTCCCTGCTGGTAAAGCCCTGATAAACAGTCCTCTGACAGCAGGCCTCAGAGATCAGAACAAGCTTCAGACTCAAATAACAGGGAGCTGCTGATTCCTCTGCAATAGAGAATGACTCTTCTTTGGCTGGTTGTCACTAAACTTGAAGTATTTGACATAAAAGTCATTTGTTTTAGTTTTTTTAAGAAATTAATACTTTTATTCAACAAGAATGCATTTATCTGATCAAAAGTAACTGCACTTGCACACTGTTACACATTTTTTTAGAATAAACGTTGCAGTTTATCAAAAAATAATCTTAATAAATAAAATAAAATAAAATATAAAATAAAAATCAGAAAAACAATTTCCACAAAAATATTATGGAGTAAAAAAAAAAAAAAAAGAGAAGTAATGATGCTTTCCATCACAAGAATATATTACATTTTAACATATATTAAAAATAGAAAACATTCACTTTAAATCGTAATAACATTTCACAAAATTACTATTTTTACTGTATGTTTGATCACAGGGATTAAAGTTCCGTCGCTACGAAGGATTTCCGTCAGTTCATACAGACAGTCACTTGCTTCATTCCTGAATGATTCAGTTGTTCGAATGAATCAATTGAATGAATGATTCAGTGATAAAATCAGTGACTTGCCGCCACCTGCTGGCGGATTTAGTTTCATTTTTAGCGTATAATTTCAGTTATTTGAATCATATTTCTGTATTCAAAATGTTATATTTAAAACATTAATCTCCACATGAATTTATGAATTTAATTGCACTCATGCCACCTCTGAGCCTCATTAAACGTCTGAAAATGCAAGCCACTTTTGTGTTCTTCTGTGCCACCTCTGTAGTACAAATTAATACTAATTTCATATGATTGGTAACTTATTTGTCTTATTTCTACTTATTATTTTATTGCAGGTGTTAAAGCAAAAAAAATATATTTTAACTTAATTTTTCTTCGACCAAACCCCATTCCTCAGCCATACCTGTCACACACCCAGTTTAAGAGCAGTCAAGTCACTGATTTCATCACTGAATCATTCATTCAATTGATTCGTTCGAACGGCTGAATCATTCAGGAATGAAGCAAGTGACTGTCTTTATGAACTGACGGAAATCCGTCGTAGCGACGGAACTTTAATCCCTGTGATCAGATAAATGCAGCCTTGGTGAGCATAAGAGACAATAATAAGATTTTTATCTTACCGACCCCAAACTTTTGAACAGTAGAGTTTACCATAAATAGTCCTTGCACATAAACTAAACTAATTTAATGTTTTATTTTAGATTTGTAAAATGTTCCAAGTAAATTGTTTTACTGTAATGCATCCTGATTTGAGATGACAATTGAATATGAAATAAAATAAATAAAGATCTGACTACCTGCACAATAAAATATTTCTCTACTTTCTTTCTCTACTACTTGAAAAGATGTAGAAGTGAAGTGAAGTGAAAATATGTTTGGTTTCATGAGATATTTGCAAGACAAGTTCAACAATGGGTCCCTTAGATACTTGACTACATACTTTTCTTCACTTAAAAAATTAATAAATTAGTGATATATATATATATTCTCATGGTTACTACTATGTTGAATTCAACATCAACAATCAATTTTTGTCCAATAAATGTTATTTGTAAGATTAGTCATTAAAAAGCAATCAAATGATTAGCATGGTTTGTTAGATCAACTCATTATTGCAATGTACTTCAATAATAACTGCTAAACTGCAGGAAAGATTACGATATTATGGTGTTACAGTAGTGCTGGGCGGTATACCGGTTCATACCGAATACCGGTTTTTATTTTTGTTATGATATGAATTTTGCAAATACCGCAATACCGGTATATGTCACTTAAACAACGTTCGGAACGCGACACTGTTTGAAAGGGGTGTTGCACTGTGTTGAGGGAACAGCTGTATGTTACTAAGTTACAGCACTGTTCTGTTGTGCTGTGGTCTATGTGACATTGGAGATCATGACTCACCACAAGTGTTTCCTCAGAGTTGGTGTCATACACATCTTTGGCCTTCGTCAGCTCAGAGATCATGTGACCCAGGAGCGACTCCCATGATTTGTCAGAGTTTGGCGTGTTCTGCGTGTGAAACAACATGAATTAAAGCAAGCAGTGTTTTACATTTCTCCCTTCAGACTGTAATCACGGTTATTCTACCAACTGGACTGAATTTTGAATCCAACTTAGGCTTTGAAATACAGTAACTTTAAGTGAGTGAGTGAGTGAGTGAGAGAAAGAGTGAGAGAGAGTGAGAGTGAGAGTGAGAGAGAGAGAGAGAGAGAGAGAGAGCACTTAATGTGCAATTTAATCATTGTAAAATAGTTCCAGTTTTGAAATCTGACTAGATGAGCCACACATTGAGCCTTTGAATAATAAACAATACAAATATACACACGCATGACCAAACATCAACTGAATCTACATCAATTGTGAACCAATTTATATTGCTGTTCCACAGCTATTATAACACACATGCTTGCTATAACTGACTGAAGTAAGTCTAAGAAAGCTTTTTGATTGGTGGCTGTGATGAGTAGGTCACTGGCAGCACCTTCTTGGCAGCTCCAGTGTTGCTCCAGGCGAGTCTCTCCTCACGGCTGAATCTGATGGACAGAGCGGCCAGAGCCTGTGTGTACTGCAGACTGTACAACACCTTCACAACACACGTGAAGTGCTCTGCACACAAACACACACACAGCATGGTTATCATCAACACCAGATGCAGTATCTTAAGTTTAAAACACAGCATGAAATCAAAACTGATTTTCGCTTCAATGTTTGTGGTTACACTGCCTGTGCTTTATTCATGTATAATAATTTCATCATGAAAAAAAAATCCCTCATATTACATAACATTATGACTGTTTCAAATTCGAGGTATATATTTCATCACTTCAAGCCTTCAATCACTTTCATCCGTGGGAACTGAACCCATGACCTTGTCGTTGCATTGCTCCACTGTTTGAGCAGCAGGAACGCTAGAATAATTTATTTATACCAGTGTTTGGAAGTTCTTTGTGTAACTTTATGAACTTAATGTTTTTAACCTAAACCACTACAGTTTAATTTATCTGCAAAAGCTGTACTTTGACATAAGTGACATACAATCTTGTGTAATCTCAACCACTGGCAATGAAACTTCTTCATAAAAGATGTAAAGTTTACCTTACACTCAGCATATTTAATGTGACGTGAATTTAATGTTTCTGTAGTCTCACCAAGGCTACATTATTAAAAATACAGTAAAACAGCAATATTGTTAAAAAAAAACAAAAAAAAAACCTTTTCTATTAAAACGTCATTTATTGCTGACGCAAAGCTGAATTTTGAGCATCATTACTCTAGTCTTCAGTGTCACATGATCCTTCAGAAATCAGAAAACTTTTTTCCCCCCCTATAGCAGCCTCTTTGGCCTCCCCAAATGTAAAAATGTTGGTTATATCCTTGAATAAAAGCACCAATAAGACGCACACAGAGACACTCACTCAAAGAGCTCTATAGACCCTAGAGCTTTCAAGAGAACCATGGATCTTTTGTTAGGACACAAAAATCAATTATGTAGACAAAAAAAAAGGACATTTGATTTTTTTGGAGAGGGTAATTAGGCCTTGTGTGCATGTAGCAGGTGTTAGGACCAGTTGTGTGATGAGAAACACACACACACACACACACACAGACGATGACACTCCATTAACATTCCTCACCAGAGACAATGACACCTCTCACACACACACACACCAGTGTCATTGTGACAGTACAAAACTATTCTCTAACACATGCACAGCCCGTTTCTGTTCTAATACAAGCTTTATTGTGTTGTGTCTTCAGACTGATGGACTCGAATCGATCCCTTGCTCACAACCACGAAACACATGATGCTTATTTGAGAGCCAATCAATGATCAGTGATCAATCAAATGACAGTCATGGCCTTTACAGACTTTAAATTTAAATGTACTTTTTAATTGCCTTTGAAAGCTCAGAAGTGCACCCGAGTCACTGATGCACTGATATATGTTCTAGAAAACACATATTTGAGTTTCTACAATAATTAAACAGTGCTATACAGAGACTACGAAAGATTTTACTTGTACTAAACATCCCTTCTGCATGCAGTAGAGCTTTCAATTGATTAAAATGTGCGATAATTTAATTACAAGATATGCCAATCAAATTGAAAGCATATCAGTATTTGCTGAGAAAAGTTCCCAACTGAAGATACTTTATTAAAGGCATCAGGTTACTGTGGCAGATTAAACAGACACACTGTCAGTGTTTGGGATTGACAACCGCATTTACTTACAGGTGTGAGTCTCGAAATGTCCCGTTCACACAGCAGTCTCTCGAATACGGTCTGTGTGAATGTGCAACGGGAGTCAAGTCCGATTTCCTTACCAGTTACCATAGCAACAGTGACCAAAGTAATATCAAAGATGGCGACGTCCACAAAACTTAAAGGTGGGGTAAGCGATTTCTGGTAGCCAATGTTGACATTTGAAATCACCAAAACAAACACGCCCCTACCCCAAAAGGGTCTCGCCCCTATTTTGATAGCTCCGCCCCACACATACGTACGCAACCTAGGCAACAATTAATTCTGTGAAACAAAGCAAAATCAATGTTAGACCGTGTCTACACCGGACGCGAGTGGCGCGGCACAACAAAATACTATAGAACTCATTATAATCAGTGATGCTGTCTACACTGGATATATCCTACTTCTTGCCTTCTTGCCTTAAGCCTTCTTTTGTTCCGCAGACGTTTTCCTCTTTTGTTTTTTATCCGCCATCTCTATCTTTCTGTCGCTCGGGTCGCTAATGTCCATCCTGTGCACTGAACGCTCTCTCCTCCACATCATGAGTAGACACGCCCCTTACTGCTGATTGGCTACAAGTTTGTTTTGCTAGTCGGCCCGAATCAGTTTTCTAAAGCGTTTTTGAAAAATCACTTACCCCACCTTTAAAGTCTTATCATTTTCTGACACAACAAGAGTCCAAATTAGTTCCGTTCACCCAGCGAAGGTTTTCCGAGAATGCGGTTGTGAGTCCTGAAAAATTATGGGTGTGAGTTCGGTTGCGTTACCTTTGCGTAAAGGCTGAGGCATGGTAAGGATGAAGATGATGAGGAGGGATGGGACGTCTCTGAAGAGCATGGGCACCTCAGGACGTTCATCATCACAGTACCTGCACACAAAACACACAATCATTCAACAATACTACACTAAATGCTTCAGAAACACAGAAAACATGACCACTACCAAAAAAAAAAAGAGCAGTATACAGTATACACAGCATTTTTTAACTTACATGCATGATATTGTGATCTACAGACAATACTTTCACATCTATCTTGCCGACGGCAGCACAACTGAAATCATTATGTAAGAACGAGACTATTTACTGTAGGTGAACAGTCACGAGTTCTTTCAATGGAATTTTACTGTAAATGTACAGTAGGTGGGAGCAGGTTACACAAACCCAAGATTGCAATTAAAATGTAAAAAGAAAATATTCTTTGAGCAAATATTTATTTATTTAGAAGACCATTTTTTGATGTGCTGTCCATTTGAGCAGAATTCACACCCCAAAAGCGTTTGGACACACACTCAAACATACACAAATAAAATTGCCATAATGGCATCTAAACATATCAAGAATGGCTTTAGTGTCCAAAAACTACCTCTCATATAATAAAAACACATGGTCTTTTGTGCTTGATAAGTGATTAGAGGTAGGCAGAAGCAGGGACAGCAGTGGTTTTATTCAAATGGCTATATTAATAGCGCTGCTAAAGCGCCCGAGGGTTCTAGTGACAGAGTTTTCCTTCAAAAGACTCTAACAAGGTATTTATAGGCACAGCTGTCTCCCATCTGAGTCCAGCCCGTCCAACAGTCCTAAGAGACGCACAGGTGAAAACCCTGTCTTACCGCCCCAACGCAGGAGAAATGAGGCCATTTAACTAGCCCGAGAGTGTTAAGTGCCTTTTAAACAGGAGGCGCGATGAGCGGTAACCTCCACACAGCCATAAACCCTCAAAATAAAGCGTAGCACTCATGAAATGTAGTGCTGCACACCATAATTTACTAGATGCAGCAGTTATTGGTATCTATGGAAACCCCATTTGTGCAAGTCTCTCTCTCTCTCTCTCAAAAAGATGCAGCGGCAGAGACGCAACATAAAAAGCCAGTTAAGAGTAGAATCTTCTGCCTTCTGTTTTTTATTCATTTTTTTTCTTTTAAATACCAAAATACAACAAAGCACTTAAGAGTGCATGTGTATCTTTAAATGATTAAATGTCAACATGTCTTTTTAACTGATTTGTTAGAAGAACTGCCTCGTCAGAGTCATCCGTTTGTGAACCACACTACTCTGCTCTCAGTTTTTGTGAAACATTGCGAACAACGAATATAAAACTATTGATTACATAGTATATGTGTGTGTGTTAGTATATTTAAGTTAATTTTAAAAAATTCAGATAGTACTGTTCAAATGTTGAGCTACTGTCATTCTAATTGAAGTTTCTTATGTTCACTAAGGCTGCACCAAAAAAAAAAAAAAGTTTTTGAATTATTGTTACAAATTTAAAAAATATATATATTTTAACATGTAATTTCTTCCTGTGATCAAAGCTGAATTTTCAACATCATTACTCCAGTCTTCAGTGTCACATGATCCTTCAGAAATCATTCTATGCTGATTTGTGGAAACTGTGATACTTTTTCAATTCAATTCAATTCAAGTTTATTTGTGTAGCGCTTTTCACGATACAAATCGTTGCAAAGCAACTTTACAGAAAATTAAGTTTCTACAATATATTTAGTAGTAGCTTATCAGTGGTGACTGTCAGTTAATGTACATATGGCAGAATGCACGGAAACTCAATTAAAGACGTAATCAAATACTTTTTGTAAGGATACTTTAATTGTGTGAACGGGAAGTTCTTTTGCCAGCATTTAATTTCCATAATTACAGCAGCATCTCTGATTGTTGGATCTCTGTTCAGGATTACAAGTAGTGCACTGTGTGTTTAGCAATTTATATTTTATAAAAAGTTCAGTTCAGGAAATGCTGATTGTGTGTGTGTGTGTACTCACTCGTTGTCTCTGGTGTGCGTGCTCTGTGTGAGTCTGGTCCAGGGGTTGTATGCTGAATCTATGCTGTAGAGACGCATGTGCATGGCCAGCACATGAAACAACTGATCTGAAACACACAGAGAACACACACACACACACCAGTGTTAGTGTGTGCAACATGATGAATGGAGTTTGCGTAGAGCCTCCAGGCGTGTAGGAGGATGTGACAGATATCAGACCTCATGAAAACCTGTCCTTTTACACACTGATCAATGCCTTCAACGCGGTGTCCAGACCAGCGGCAGTGGATCACTGCTGCCCCCTACCTGCAGCTCACAAACCCACCTGACACCAGCAGCAGAGGCTTCAGAACCAAATCCTGATAAACCTGCAACTTTACCTCAGCAGACAGATTACAACAGAGCTCACACAGTTTCGGCAATATATACTCCATATACACTACCATTTAAAATCTTGGGGTCTGTATAATTTAGTAAATAATTAAATTCATTTATTTGATAAAAAAAAAAAGTAAAATATTATTACAATTTAAAACTACTGTTTTCTATTTAAATGTGTTTAAAAATGTAATTTATTCCTGTGATCAAATCTGGATTTTCAGCATCATTACTTCAGTCCTCAGTGTCACATGATCCTTCAGAAATCTGATGCTCAAGGAACATGTCTTATTATTAATGTTGAAGCAGTTGTGCAGTTTTTATGAAAAAACAAACAAACAAACAAAAAACACATACAGGTGATGCATTGTTTTTAGAATTCTTTGAATAAAGACTTCACAAGAACAGCATTTATTTGAAACATTTTTTTTCTAACATTGTGAATGTCTTGCTGTCAGTTTTGATGAATTTAATGTAATCATTAAAAAAAAAGAAACAAAAAAGTTTATTTATAATATTTTGATGAACTGTGGATAATTTGATTATTCTTTCAGCTACCAATAAGTTTAAATATTATGCTTGACTTGACCATTTCCAAAGCCACAAATTTTAACTTTAAAAAAATATTTTGCATCATCAAAAGACATTAACACAAAATTGGATAAAAATGCTTAAGAGTCAATTTTGAGATTACAACATGACACAACTGATTAAATTACACATGCAATACAGTGTAGTCATATGCTCACATTGTAGCATGCTAATAAAACGATCAATTATCAAATCATAATACGAAGGCATATATTAACAGTATACTGTATATTATGCAGTATGCAGCAAACAGTATTTTAGTTTTCTATTTCCAACATGCCCAAGAGATCCTAGAGCCAGACTGAAACTTATAGACACACACACACAGGGTCATTACCACTTTAAAAATCAAAGCTTATTAACCTACTTCTGTGAGCAGTGCATCTAATGTACTAGTGTATGACTGCAACGTCATGTGACTTACACAATAAAATAACAACTGACATTGAATTTCTAATGTCATTTTACACAGTCTCAGCTTTTAAACTAATTTCATCTCCTCTGAATGCAATGAAAGATGTGATGTATTTCAGACTTGTGTGCTTTTACAGGCTGCGTGGATTCTTAGTGCAGACAGGATACCAGATGTGCATTATTACCAGAAGCAAAACACCAGCCACATATAATATGCTGGCTCATCTACAGACTCATGGATAGAGCAATATCACCACCTATAGGTAACTAAGACTGGATAAAATTATTCCTTCATTCAAAGCATTTTTAATAAAAATATGAGAGGGGAAACAGCTTAGAAAAACTTATTGGTTGATTGAGTGTGAATTGAAATTTTCAACAAAACCCTCCACAGAAACAGCAATGCGAGGGGATGTGAGAAGGACGTTTACACAGAAGAGCACTTTTGCATTATGACTGCACTATTTTTTGAAGTGTCGGCCCATTTACACGTGTCAAAAGATGCCTTTAGCTGTTGCTTTTCACCTCAATGTTTTACAGCGTCTCAACACCATGAGCAATGTGTGTCAACTTCAATATACACTACTGTTTGTGGTCAATAAGATCTTTTAACGAAATTAATACTTATTGAGCAAGGATGCATTTAATTGATCAACAGTGACAGTAAAGACTTTCATAATGTTGCAAAAGATTTGCTGTTCTTTTAAACTTTCTATTCATCAAAGAATCTTGAAAAAAAAGTATCAAAGTTTTCACAAAAATATTAAGCGGCACAACTGCTTTCAACATTGATAATAAAAAGAAATGTTTCTTGAGCAGCAAATCAGCATATTAGAATGATTTCTGAAGGATCATGTGACACTGAAGACTGGAGTAAGGGCTATTGAATTTATAATAACTATACTGGAGTAATAGTTATTCTACATTTATTCAAAATTGTCAATTCAGTAAATCAGCTTACCATCTTGGTATATCTTGGGATGTCTTTGGGAGTGTCCAAAGAAAATGTCTCAATATTTCAGCAATAAAAATGTATCAGCAAAAAATAAAAAAATAAAAATAAAAAATAAAATGGTATTATACATTTCTTTTCATATCAAACATGCTGAAAAGCATTTTCAGGCTGTTCCAGTTGATGCACATGCTTATTCAACAGTTAAACTATCAAAAATGACCATAAAAGGCAGGACTAAAACTACTAAATCTTATATGATTTTTAATGTTTAATTTACATATGACTGGTCCAACTCCTTCCCTCAAAACGATGTCTTGGACAACTAGCAACAAGTTTGGGTGATACAAATCCATTTGCACTCTGTTCTGTTACAAGAACATGAATGCTCTCTAAACCTCAGTCATGATGGCACATGGAAGTGTGAGAGATCTCCAGATATTCATTCCAATCCTCCATCCCCTTGCTTCTATCCACTTTGCAATCACTTTATCATGTAGACGGACAGCCGAAACGGAGATTTCTGCATCGCTCTATTTCTCACCCACGTCTCTCCACCACCCTCATCCTCACACACTCTCCATCTCCATATTGATCTTCCATCTCCACCCACCTGTGATTACAGTGTGCATACTTGCCCCATTCACATGCCATCAATCACACATAGACATCAAACACGACTCAGGTGTCTGAAAGGCAAAAGTGAATGTCATCCAATCTACACTAACATCCAGAGAAAGAATTAACATCAACTGACATTCAAATTTTCCTAAATACAACCCAGAAGAATCACTATGACTAAATACAGGACATCTGATGGCAAATCTGACAGCAGTAGTACAGAAGTCAGAGTCATTCTGGAAGGCAACTACTTTTTACCAGCCACTTACATTTGAACAAATCACTGAATTTAACTATTAAACACTGTCATGTAACATGACACTGCATAACATGCTTAAAAAAAAAATAAAATAAAATAAAAATCACACCAAACCAAACAAAAAACAAAACCAAAAACCAAAAATTAAAAAAAAAAAAATAAATAAAAATAAATAAATCAAACACCAAACAAAACCAGAAACAAAACCAAACAAACCAACCAAACAAACAAAAAACATCAAGCAAAACCAGAAACAAACAAAAAACAAACAAAACACCAAGCAAAACCAGAAACAAAACCAAACAAAACAAAAGCACAAACCAAACACCAAAAAAACAAACAAACAAAACACCAAGCAAAACCAGAAACAAAACCAAACAAAACAAAAGCACAAACCAAACACCAAAAAAACAAACAAACAAAACACCAAGCAAAACCAGAAACAAAACCAAACAAATCCCAAACAAAACCAAAAAGAGAGAGAGAAAAAAGAAACCAAACACCAAACAAAACCAAATCAAACAAAAACCCCAAAACAATGGCATCCTAGTAACCACTCCCATTCCTAGCACTATGGTGGTAAGTTTTGCACAGGGCAAGCGACACTCACTTTCCCTTTCTTTGTCCATACTTTCTATTTTCTTGTTCTCTAGCTGATCTGATCTCTAATGTACTGAGACTGAGTAAATCTGGCCCTCTGTGGATGTGGGTTTAATGTAGCTCAGAAAATGGCTGCATTGCTGGAGTGTGAAATCTCTTCAGCTGCGCTTGAGTGTCAAGATTTTTTTTAAGCGAGCTCAAGGACTAAACTCATTTATACAGAGCCAGTGTGTGGATGTGTGTTGATTGACTGGTCTCAACAGCAAAAATTCACCAACATCAGTCTCTTCATTCTCCTTGTATCCATCAGAATACAAATGCAATCATCCATAATGCATCATCCAAGAAGAATGGCATTCCTGAACAATCTGAACAGACGCCTCACACTTGAATCATGGACAGCAGTCCACATGGACAACCAGGGTTCAGTTCTTCGACAGGGAAATTTCATTTGGGGTGGTGTGGTGTAGCGGTTAAGGTTCAGTGCTACGGCCTTTAGCTTGCAGCTCATTATGTGCTTAAACACTGAATTGAAGACAATTAACTTCAGATTACTCCTGAGACTAAAACTGTAGCAAGTTCAAAACTAGTGGTTGATTAATATGGCTGATGTGATATATAAAGAGCATTTTGGTTGTAATTTGGCTAAATAAACTAAATATTTGTTATCTACTAATAATGCTGATGTGGATTTGGACTTAAAATCATTTGCCTATAGGGCAGGGGTGGCTAACGTGGGTCCTGGAGAGCCACAGTCCTGCAGAGTTCAGCTCCAACCCTAATCAAACACACCTGAACCAGCTAATCAAGGTCTAAGGGTCACTAGAAAGCAACAGAAGCAAAACTCTGCAGGACTGTGGCTCTCCAGGACAGACGTTGGAGAGAGAGTCAGCATGTGAACAAGATCAGCTCTGTACAAAATTATCAACAGGTACAATGATCCAGGAACACTTTACCTGAAACCTAATATAACATTATAAAGGTATCTAAAATATGAATATAAAAAAATATTTGAAAACATGAAAGCATGGATCATCTTTCTAGATTATAGAGCTGGACCTATCCGTTTACATTGCCTTATAAAACATAATATAATACATTCTGAGCTTTCATAAATAACTGTAAACAGAGTCACTGATAACTTCTAGTGATGTGACGTGTAGCCAAGCATGGTGTCCCATACTCTGAATTTGTGCTCTGCATTTCACCCATCCAAGTGCACACAAGCAGCAGTGAGCAGTGGGCAGCTATTTGTGCTGCGGGGAGCAGTTGGGGGTTTAACAACGTAACACTTTACAATAAGGTTAAATTTGTTAACATTACATACATCATTAGTTAACATGAACAATCAATGAAAAACACTTCTAAAGAATTTATTAATATAAGTTCATGTTAATTTCAACATTTACTAGTACATTATTATGAGCTATACATGCTGAGCTAGCATGAACTAACAATGAACAGTTGTATTCTTATTAACTAATATTAACAGACTAACAACTACTACAGCAAAAATATTGCTCATTGTTTGTTTGTTTATTAGTTTTTTTTAGTGTTCTGGAACTTTTCACTGATCATTTACTCTAATATAGGAGTAAAAACACTAACACAATAACAGAAACGTGTAATTATTATATACACATATAATAACACCAACAATGACACTAACACAGAATGAAAGATAGAAGAAAAATAAACAAAAAACAAACGAAAGAAAGGAAGGATGGAACATTGAAAAGAAAGAATGAGAGAGTAAATGAGAGAACAAATGGAATAAAGAGAAAATAACAAATAAACAAAAAAGTAAATAAAAGAACAAACATGGACAAACAAACAAAAGAAAAAAGACAAGAGCAAAGAACAAAGGGAAGAACAAGCCCTCTAAACACCTAACAGCAGAAACAAACAAAAACAAAAAGAATGGAAGGAAGGCATATAGGAAAGAATTCAAAAACAAACAAACGAAAGAAAGATTCAAAGAGTGAAAAAACGAAAGAAAGATTCAAAGAATGAAAAAAGAAAAAAGAATGAACAATGAATTTGAAAACAAACAAACAAAAAAAACAAAGAAAGAAAGAATTAATTAATTAATGAAAAATCCTAATGGACAAAAAGTATAAGACAGGGGAAGGACACACACACACACACAAATAAAATAAAAAGGATTTAAGGAAATATTATTCAATAAACCCATGCGGCAAAACCACTGATCTGAGAACAGACTAACCGAGCAGGTAAACATCAGTCAATCATCTTTCAATGCTGCTGAATATAATAGACATTCACAAACACACTCTTCCTCCAGGAAATGGGTTGAACTTTTTTCTAATGCCACACATGATGACAACATTTAAGCTTATATTAAACAAACAAACACTGCATTCATGGCTCTTTCTTACCTGGCCACGGAGTACATGAACAGGAAGTCATTGTCAGGTGACCCTGGGTTCTTCCCATAATCCATGTATTTTTTCTGTGTGGTGCTTTTAATGTCCTTTATAACAGATTCCATCTCTTTACTCAGATTGGACTCCACCTGGGAGAGAAAAAAAAACACTCTGTGAAGGCCTCTGTGTTTTTCAGAGCAGAGTTTAAAGGCCTGACATGACTGTCTATGACACTGGCTTGAGATTTTGTGTTACGAGATGTTAAACCACAGCAACATTTGGCGGGGCATGAAGGATCACATGGAGGTGAGTGGCACCAAGAGTTCTTACTCTGAATCAGGATGGAGGGATGAGAAGCACAGAACAGAAAAGAGGAGAGGGGAGTGCGCTCTAATAAATACCAGTATGGGATCTCTCTGCTTTAGGCTGGCTCTTACTGGGAAAATGCCCAGCTGTTCCTGAAGGTCTTCCACTTCCTTCACCAGTGTGGACATGCTCTTGTTACTGGGCGTGTGCCAGGCACCCGTCTCCATCCCACGCCCAGGACGACAGGGCAAAACACTGTTGGCGAACTGACGACACAGCGGACAGGTGAACTCGCCTTTATCCACAGAAAACCCCTGAAGGACCTGATCGTTCTGAAAACAAACAAATACGACACAGGTTCATTTACAGACAGTTTAATGAAGTTTAACAGCTGACTGGTTCGCAAAAACAGGCCAATATGCATCAATATGCATTGGCTTTGTCGCCTGAGGCTGAGACTAAAGTGCTGATAACTCTACAGCTGAAAGGACAGCCCTGCTTAAACCCCCTCTCTCGCTCTGAACATCAATGTCTGCTCATGTTACAGATTATTAAGCAGATGATGGTGATGTCAGACTGCCCTTATTAGCATAAGCACAATGCTTCCCTGAAAGGTTCAGCTGAGAAGAAACAGTGGTGGATGAACCTCTAATGACAAAACAGAGCGGAGTCTCAACTAATAGTCTCAAAATATTGTGAATTTGTACATGGTGCAAAGTATTGTGGAACCAACCGGCTTGTGCATCAACAAAATGTAACAATACAAGGCATAATCAGAATTAAATTGACAGTCTTTATGTATACCAGTCAATGATGGCAGTTCCTCTCATCTGGAGTCTGTGGTTCACGAGGCTCAGGTCTTGTGGGACATTTTAATATGATGATGAATGATGAATTGAGGTTTACAATGCAGCTGACAGAGTGTGTGAACGGTGAATACTGAACATCCCTTTGACAGGGGAGTCAAACTCCAGTCCTGACAGACGCTAAATCAGAAGCCACTTTATATTAGAAAGCTGCATGAATGATTCCAGGATTATCTGTTAGGTTAAATCAATTAAGAGCGTTTAAATGCTAGGGAGGCTATTGGATTGGAGGCAGTGCACAAGTGCATGACTTCTAGAACTCTTCCAAATGATGAATCACTTGATAAGTTAAAGCTTTTTACAGCACGGTCTTCAGTATAAAGAGCTGGAGGATTCTTACCCGTAAGGACTCCATGTAGGACTTGTGACAGTCTATATGCAGGGTGTGGCCGCACGTCTGCACATACACACCCCCGTCCCAGCCAACAGACACAGACTGCAAACAGGAACTCTGGGAAATGAAAAAAAGAAGAACTAACTTCACTCATGAGCTAATAAAAGAGATAACATTAGATTTTGATTATATCTATTAAACTCTAAAGCTTTAGTTTTCAAGGAGAGGATAATAATGTATGTAATAATGTACAATAAGAATGTTCAAAGCTGCTGTAAAATAGCTGATATGCGCACACTTTTGATGGCACAGCTGAATTTAATATTAATGCGGCAGCTGTAAACTATCTACACTTGGGATAATGGGCTCCATTACCTTGTAGAAGAATTGTTTATTCTAATTGTTCCTTTTATAAAAGCAATAAGACACATAAGACAGTGATTTTACTGTGTGTCACACGGTGCCTAACAACCCTTAACCGTGGTAACATCACTGTAATGCATTGGCCTCTTGTGGGTTATTGCATTAGTAAAGTATGTGTGTAACCCTAATGAAACCGTATCTGTATGAAATGCTTAGGCAGTCATATCGTATTTATATGCCTCAACAAAAAAAACAAAAAAATGTTTTAGAATGAGTTGTACATTGTTAGTGTGTTATATAGGTGTTTTTAAAGCAACACTGAAGTGTGTGAATGAGTGTTTATATATGGCACGCACATCTTTAAAGTATCGTTGCATAAGGGACAGCCTAACATCATGGGTCGCTCCACACGTGTCCTCGGGGTAGATATGTTCCTCATCCGTAGTAGGCAATCGCTTTGGTGTGTCACTACGACAACGGTGCCCCAACACTGAAACACACACACACACAAACACACTCTTTAGAAATGGCAATCATATGCTAATTAGCTGCCATCATCACATTTATGGCATTCTCCATTTGCATACTATAATGAAGTACCATGTCAAAGTCAAAACTGTAACGCACGTCACACTGCCTCCAAACCCCGCCATCCTGAATACTCAGCAATAAAAATTTAAAATAGACCAAATCAGCAGCCTGTTAGTCCATCAAATCTCCAACAGCTGATTTTCCAGCTCTATAGGGTCAGACCAGATTAAAAATACTAAAGTCACAAATCGGACAAATCACAGGCCAGTGATTATTCATAAAACAGAATGTTAATTTTATCACAGGACTGGGGTGGGAGAAGACTATCTTCGAGTCTACCTGCTAAGAGGTCACAATGCTTGATAAATGAAGCAACTGAAACACCGTTGTTAAAATCAAGTAGTGTAAAGTGGGCGAATTTAAAGTCATGGGTGGGTTAATGTAGAGTTAAAGAGCTCCAGTGATCTGGACCACGTCCACTACAATCTGTTACCTGCAGATGGAAAGCTGTAATGCTGCACTCTTGTCCTACAGCTGTTAGAGACCTTAGAATAGATATTTGCATCTTTTTTTTTTTTTGTCCTACAGGAGACTTCCCGGGCTCAATCGTACGTCAACAACATCTGACCACAGAAAAAAGCACTTCCAGTGTTATTTAAACACAAACACACACACACACAAACACTGACTTCCACCTTCCACTCTAGAGTATAGATATTCTCAGTCAACATAAGAGTAAAAAAAATAAAAATTGGGACGCATTGCATTTAATATACTGTGCTGCTTTGAAACTATATGTTGTGAAAAGCCCTATACAAATAAATGCAAATGTACATGCATTTTTGGTTTGGGATGAGACAATTGTGACAGCATTTTCATTTTTTGAAGAACCTTGTTCAAAGTTGCCAACATTTCTTTAAAATGTCAAACTGGACTTTCTGATACAAATAGCAAACTTCTCTTTAGTGACTTATGCATCACGACTTTAAATACAGTGTCTGCTTGGAAGACATTTTGAAAGCAAGCAACAGTATGGTAACACAGGCAACCACAAAACTGATTGGACCTCCATAACGTGGAGTCCCTCAGGGCTCAATCCTTGGACCTCTCATGTTCAAGCTGTATATTCCCCACCAGGCCAAATAACGCAACACAACAAAATTGCTAATCATAGCCATGCAGACTAAAGTCCCAAGTAAGACTATATATTGCATTGTGCATTCGGTGCATTGATGAATAAAACATTTGGATGTGTTTCCATAAACACAAAAGACACTAATACTGACCACTGTTGAAACAGACACTAATACATTGCTAATGTAAATGCTGAACTTGTGAGAGCAGGTGTGTGATACCTGATGAAGCCTGCAGCAGTACCACCAGTCCTGTGGGTCTGTCTTCAGTAGACGGGCCGCTCTGGCCACAGATCACACAGTCATATAGAACCTCTGAGTCCAGAGGTTCTGCCGAGCCCATGTCCATCACTGCATCGGTTTCAGTTGACTCTATTAAACACAAATCAAACAACAGTCAGATAACAAATACAAAGAATTATAGAGCACAGAATTATAGACTGGTAGATCACAAAATTTCCCTTCAAATAAAAGGGCTTTGTTTCCACAACCTAGTGAGCTACCCACAATTACTGTACAACATTTTAAGGCACCAAAGTAATGAAAACTGTTCCAAAATACAGGTAGCAAAATTTCAAGATACTTTGTATTGAGCAAATTCTGTGTATCCCTCACACAAGAGGCAATCCCAAAATGCGCTGCAAAAAGTTCTAACCCAAAAAAAAATTTGAGTTGAGAGAAATGTTGATTATAAATTATTCCATTTCATTCGTGAAGAGTATTGAAAAAAACAGATCAGTAGATAAGACAATTCACTAGATTTTAAAGCACAGATGAAGATCAATTTGGATCGACCATGAGGGATACTTTCCCTAGGTGGTCAATAACATTCAGTTTAAGTTGTGTAGACATTGACTGCTCACCAGAATTTTAGAGTCTGGCACAGTTTGAAGCTCAGAAGAAAAAAAAAAAAAAAAAAATGAAATTCTAGATACTGTATTTTGTACAATAATATGGCTACCATTCATTACCATTGCATCCCACTGCACCATGGTCCCATCACAGTACTTTTTTGTAAGGGTTCGGTTTTTTTTCCACAAAAACAAAATGCAGAGAGGAGCCAAGTATAAGTCAAGTGTATGAGAATATGGGGTAAAAATCCAATGAATGAACAATAATTATGAGTGCAGTAGATTGGCAAAATTTAATTAGTTATATAATGTGGATCTGAATTACGTTTTTGCCCTCTCCTGGTTAAATTAACAAACAGTTAATGGAGGTCCAGGCGGTCATGCATTAAAAGCAGTAACAACAGAGCTAATGTAGTGTGAACCCTGTTTTTATACGGCATGTGCGAAATGAGCAGAATATTCTGCTATATGTGAAGGTCAGTATCTAAACACAGTATCCTAAAACTGTTCATGTACCTAAAACTTTGTGATTATATCATATATGGCTATACAACATCTGCTGTATTTGCATCTCTTGCTTTTTTCTTTTTTATCCTCCTACAGGTGACTTCCCGGGCTCAATCGTGTCAACAACATCTGACCACAGAAAAAAGCACTTCCAGTGCTATTTAAACACACACACACACACGACATACACTGGCTTCCACTCTAGAGCATAGATATTCTCAGTCAACACAAGAGTAAAAAATTAGGGACGCATTGCATTGAGTTACTTATCATAATGAGTAGTCCAAAATGTAATATATTTTCCATTGCTTTAAAAGTAGCATCCCCAGTAACAAACACTGTCGATATCTGCTATTCCCGTCTGACATATTCCTAGGGATTAATTACCTCTTCTAAATCACTCCTAAATGTTAAAGAACATGTTCGATTTCAGAGCAAATAGAGGCTTTGTAAATGTCAGCGTGTCTTTGGATTGATTTATAGCTTAAGGTGCAGAGACAGAGACAGAGAAGTCTATGGGGAAATGAAACATTTGTGTTGGAAAGTTAATGTGACAGTGTTTGCCTGAGGCGCCCTACCTGGTACTGCTGCCCTCCAACACACCCGTCCTAACTCAACACTACAATACGAGAGATACTTTGACAACTAGTCTTCATATGCGGACAATTCATGACCTTTATACACCGTAAAACAGGTCAAAATCTCAAATACCATGATGGCGAAACTACTTTTTGTTGATTTCAATCATAATTTCCTTCCATCTACCTGTTTTTATCCAGAAGCACTTGTTCATCAAAAACACACAAACATACACAAGGTTCACAGTTCAAACTCAAGCGTTAATATAGAGGTCTGCCAGTCAAGCTCTTATTACACAGTAAATGAGATTAATGAAGCAGACCACTAGATTACCAACAAATAAAGTAATTAACACACAGCAATTAAGCAGCAAATACAGCTTAATTAACACACTGAGATGTTTGCAAAGCAATGTGTGAGCTTTAAGAGATTTAGGACACTGAATTATTATCCAACGCACTATTAGAGAAACCCAAAATTATAAAAAGAGCTTAATTTCAAGAAAAAAAAAAGGATCTTAATTTGCTGGGGGTGGCAAAAAAAAGTGCATCTGAATCTAATAATAAATGTCAAATTGTTAATGGGTAATTATCATTTTCTGCAACCAAAAATAAACAAATGAATGAATGAACAAATGAATATAAATAAATAAACAAACTAACAAAATAAATAAAAGATAGGAGAAAAAAAAAAATCTATATTAATGCTTTTCTGTTTCCCTGAGAAACTGGGTTCACTCGTAAAAACACTGAAATATATATTTTTTCCTCTCAAATCATATATCCAAAACAAATGTTTTGCGAGCGAATGAAAGTTTCATCTCCCCAGATATTTTGCGGTTCTTGTTTAAAATAAGATTCAAAGTTGACTTTAAAGTCACACTTTATGTAGACCACAAAGAAAGGTATTGGCTATGTGAGACTATATTATGGGCACTTAAGTTCTCTTTAATTAAGACTGTATTGAGCGGATTTGATTTCTGATCAGGCATTGATTGAAACTCAAATCCCTCTGTAAACACCTGTCTCTGTTCTTATCCCTGCAGTAAGGCATCCAGTACTGCTCTGAGATGCATTACCATATGCACAGATGCTCCAAATGCTGGCCCAATTTATCTCATTAGAATTCCAGTGCAAATATCCATGTCCAAAGTGACCTTTGATTCAAATCTGGAAAACAAATGGAGCCTGTACATCAGAGCTCAAGAGAATGTTTTATTCTGACAAACGGATGCATCTACACATCTATAATACAGACACCGCTCAATGTCAGCGGGGACATCAGCCATGGGCGTCTGAAGCTAATATTTCAACCAAATCTCAACGTCACTTTGAGCATTTGCTGTTGACTTCTGGGAAGCAAAGACAAATACCGGTTATCTAAACAGATTAGATATGATCCCTATTCAGATAACACTGCTCTGTAGCGATGTTCTGAAATTTCGGCAAACGGAAATATTCAGAAGAAAATTAATTTTTAGTTTCGGCCAAAACCGTTTTTAGAGGGCTGAAATTTAATTAGCGTTTCTCCAATGTCATTGTCTATTTCATGCACACAAAATGGATAAACGACAACAGCTAAACATGTCAGCTGTGTGGATGCTAGGGCTGGGCTGGCAATATCAAGTTCTCGTTTTCAATCCACCTTCATTCAGATGAAACAATATCTATTCTTAAATCCCAAGCTGGATCTTTTAGTCCATGCTGTTTTCAGCTGATGTGTGACCAAAACTTAACAAAACATTTTTTGTAGCACTCCTGCCTTCCAATAATCGCAATATGATCGCAAAATTACTTTGACACGCTTTAATGTGGTGTGACAGATCACTCAGTTCAAGTGACAGTGCAAAGCACATAACTGTAGCGTCTGGACCAATCAGACACACCATTTTTCATTTGATTTAACAAATCAATTATTCATTAGATTAACAAACATTCACAGACCCCTCATCCAATAAACATACTGGGTGCCAAGATGTCTGTGAACGAGGCCCAGGACACTGGTTACCATGGCAACCACGACATTGACCCTGAGAGGTCAAGTAAATATCTACAGCGGATCTAAATATTTATAATTAATTATAACTAGTTATGATTAATTATTCATATTTCCCCATGAGCTGATTCGCTACATAACCGATCATGTCTTCCTCTTTACTACTAGTTATCGAATGAAATAAACATTAATGAGCATCAGTACAACTTACTGAAATGTATAGTTTTTATGTTATCACTCAATCAGTGCTTCAACTGCAGAAAGACGTCAATAAAAGAGCTTGTAAACATGTTACGTTTGAATACATTTGTCATGAAAACAACGAACTGGGGTAGAAACATAATTATATCATTTAGAAGTTGATATTAAAGGGATAGTTCACACAAAAATGAAAATTCTGTCATTAATTACTCACCCTTATGTCGTTTCACACCCGTAAGACCTTCGTTCATCTTCGGAACACAAATTAAGATATTTTTGATGGAATCTGAGAGCTGTCTGACCCTGCATAGACAGCAACGCAACTGAAATGTTCCCAAGTCCAGAAACGTAGCAAGGAGATCTGTAAAATAATCCATGTGACATCAGGGGTTCAACCGTAATTTTACGAAGCTACGAGAATACGTTTTGTGTGCAAAAGAAAAAAAAAAGACTTTATTCAACAATTCGTCCATCAAAAATATCTTAATTTGTGTTCCGAAGATGAACGAAGGTTTTACGGGTTTGAAACAACACGAGGGTGAGTAATTAATGACAGCATTTTCATTTTTGGGTGAACTAACCCTTTAAAACTGCCTTATTTGTATTTTTTACATTTTAACTCCGTTTGTAACACTTTACATTAAGGTTCCATTAGTTAATGTATTAACTAACATAAACAATGAACAATACATGTATTACAGTATTTATTAATCTTTGTTAATGTTAATGAAAATACAGTAGTTCATGTTAAATCACAGTGCATTAACTAATGTTAACAAACACAACTTCTATTTTTTAATAATGCATTAGTAAATACTGAAATTAACATGAACTAAGATTAATAAATGCTGTAGAAGTATTGTTCATTCTTAGTTCATGTTTACTAATGTAGTTAACTAATGTTAACAAATGGAGTTACCACTCCATTTTATTTGAGTCTTGACTAATTTAAAGTTGCCATGAAATCAAAATTTACAATTCTTATTTTTAAATGTAATATTGTAGTTTTTATTATAAATATTTATCTGTGCACTTCATACATTTTTTTTTTAATTAATGTGGCCTCATAATCTTTAATCAAATACGTTAACCTTCCCTCCCTCCTCGAAACGACTTCTCTTCTCTTCCTGTCATGTGCTGTGACGTGAGGGCGGGACTATCGGGGTCAGTCTCGTTTCTGCCTTCATTTTGTTAGCAACGCCCAACTTCCAACGATCCAATCAATTCCCGAAGGATGAAATCAAGCCCCACCCTGCATTTTTTCTCATTTCAGTAGCCGTTTCACTCGGATATACGTCACAATAGGAAAAAAAGGACAATCTCAACTTCCGTTTCATGCTGACTTTAAATGTGATTGATTAAATAAACTTTATTTTCAGTTTCGGCCAAATGCAAACTTTAATTCCAGTTTCAGTGTTTTGGTAAAAAAATTATTTTGGTGCACCACCACTGCTCTAAACATGAAATACAAAAATAACTGCAATGCTCTATAATTTTCTTTAACACACAAGTCCTTTTCAAACAGAAATGCTTGGTAGTACTACCGATACTGGTATTGTTGCATTTGCTTAATATTTTACTATCGACTTAGTACCAAACTACTGGCAAATTTCGACAATCTATCCCTAGTGGCTTTAATCTAGAAAGAGGCTGTTGTGAAAACACACACACATATATATACATATACATATATATATATACATATATATATATATATATATATATACATATATATATGTATATGTAGAATATAATGCTGACTGTACTGAGATATTACAGTAAGGTTTATATTAAAACTTCATCACTCATGTCTTAAACACAGTGTCATTCTCTCTTGATCTCGGTGACCAGCACACAGCAGAATAGCCCTGAAGCACACCAATACGGCCCCTGAGGATCACACACACATACACGGTTCTGCTAAAAAGGCCCGAGGGAGTGTGAAGGGCAGAACAGAGGCAATTTGAGTCACCTTCCCTCAGAGAGTAAGATTACAGCCCACAGCTTCAGCCTTCAAGGACTTCTGCAAGTTTACCACGTCCTCTAAACTATGTAATGGACTGTAAACTGTTAAGAATACTAAATTGAAGAGCGCATGATTAAAACCAGAATTTTATCTAAATAGCTACAATAACATTCCTTAATGTTCTTGAAATATCAAACCAATACCATAATGTATTCATATGCAGCGCTTTCTGTATGAGCTATTTTAATTAACAATTTTGATTTATTTAAACAGACTAACTTTATCCAAAATTCTAAATTCCACATTTAAAAAATGTTTCCCAAGATTTCTGCAGTCAGTTATATTCCTTAGCTATTTTTCAATGCAAGAACGAATCTCATAAATGCCCCCCCACGTCTGGGCCGGGTTTTGCACATGCCAGATACATACAGAACAACAGCCACAGACAGACTCAAAGATAAGGTGGAAACACACACCGATTAAAAATGTATTCTGTGTCTTTAGATCAGATAGACATCAGTATGAAAATCAGTCAAATAGACATGAAACTTATCTACTAATTAACCACTGGAGAGACTCATCAGATGTGCTTCATAAAGGTCAGCAATGAACTTCAACTCATGTGCTAGCTCACCAACATCCATGGCAGTCTCCATGAAGCTCTTCTGCCTGGAGGCAAACTCTGCCAGCAGCTTCTGCTGTCTCTCTCTGGCCCTTTGACGCCTGCAGATGTCAAAACAGAAATCATATGCATCATTATTAACCGTTAATTATGAAATGTCCATTTTCTAAGGCTATGAATGATGGGTTAAGAATCAGATGGGGTTGAAATGCTGACGTTAAGATAATCCGACTACATCTGATGACTGTTTGAAGGACTTATTTGATCATCATTTACCAAATCAGATTTTGAAGACTGGCATATACTCGTCCTCAGACAATCATTGAGTCCATTGGAAATGCTCATTAGTTAGAGGCACACCAACTGAAATTCTGGTCAGTATATAATTATTTTCATTTCTTGTTCTTTCATAATATTTCCACGTTACCCAATAAGATGGAGATAAACATATATATAAATACAAATATTAGGGCTGCAGAATTAACGCATTAATTGGGCGCTATTAATTATGGAAATTTTTTTTTAAATTATTAAAGCATTTAATGTACCAGACCTGTTTGTTATCTTACAGTTGCTGATGCTTATGATACAGGACATCGACTAATGTGATATTGATTTTATAAAAAAAAAAAAAAAAAAAAAAGTTAGACACAATATTATCAGTATTATAAATTCTAATGTGATATTGATTTTATAAAATAGTTCAATAAACAAAAAGTTAGACACAATATTATCAGTATTATAAATTTTTGCTCAATTTAACCAAATAAAATATTTCCAAACAAACCACAGCAGAACTGCTGGGCCTTTCAGTGCAACACAAATCGAGTGAGCCAATGACTGAGTGACCCATTCATAAAAAATCAATCACACATCAATCAGCTGTTTGAACAAATCATTTGATTGAATGACTGAATGATTCACTCACTCAAGACATTAAGACTCAGCCCATAATCAGAGATGCTAACGGTCAGTTTATTACTCGTTATATCACCAATACAGAGCATTGAAGAAAGAAATATACAGACTTCATAACAGCTCATGAATCTGGCAGAAAGCCATATTTTTTCAAATCAGACATTGATATACTACGCAAACATAAAAGAGCATGTTTAATTCATGCTAGGGCTCTGAGAAAGGGTGCAAATGAAACAGGGAACACACACACCTCTCTTCCTTGTCCATACTCTTCTTATCTCCAGGACTGTTCTTCTTGAGCGGTATGGATGGACACACTTTCCCGCAGATTTCCTGGAGGCACCTCTTGCTGTGCCGGCTACGGGTGGCAGCTTTGGCCAGGATCCTCTCGATAGCCGTTAACCCATCTCCGTGCGCATGATGGGCCGGATCCACCTCGGCCAACCAGCTCAGAGACAGAGAGTCCTGCTTGGCAGACAGTTTCTGGTGCAGCTTGACCAGGAGAGACAGCATACTCTCACGGATCTCCAGGATCTCAGTCACCAGCTGCGGAGGCGAGCCGGGCGGCAGCCAGCGAGAGGATGAGGACTTGGGCCGCACCGCCTGACTGGCCTCATGGTTACTGCGGTTTATGATCTCCTGGAACTTCCTTCTGCGCTCTGCCACTAGACTGAAGACCTGAGCCTCACGCAGGTTCTGAGGAGAGACCACAGACGGAGAATAAGCAGGCAGAATGAAAAAGCCGCTTGCAGCTATATGTCTCCAAGCACACCAACAGCACAATCACTGCTACACAGTCATTGACACTCACAGCAAGTAATTCACATGCTATTATAAAAGCAATAACCCACTCGAGGTTGAGTTCGGTTGTTAAATCATTGTAACACATGGTCTTTAAAGAGCCAAGTACTTTTATAAAAGGGTGTTAAGTGCAACGTGATAAAATATATTTAATAAATAGTTTAATCATTATTATTAGTAGTAAAAATTTATTAATAGTAATGATCAGAATGTGTAGTAATAATAATAACTAGATTTTAAAAAGTTAGTCAAGATAAACACTGATATTTGCTTATTTTATGTTGAACAATACTGTGCAAGTTCCCAGCATGCATTGTAGCTTGAAAACATTTTGTGGTAATTATTATTAAAATATTATCATTGTTTTACATTTTACTGGCTTAAAGGGGTCATATGATGCTGCTAAAAAGAATTGTGTATATTTTGTGTATTTGTTGTAATGAAATGTGTTTATGCGGTTTAAGGTTAAAAAAAAACTAATTATTAGGTTGTATTAACTTTAATTTAAAAAAAGAATATTAAAACAAATATATTTTCCACATACAGTACATTATTGTTTCTCCTCTATGCCCCGCCTTTCTGAAACGCGTCGATTTTTACAAAATCATCGGTCTGAAAAGCGCGGTGTGCTCTGATTGGCCAGCTATCCAGTGCGTTGTGATTGGCTGAATACCTCAAGCGTGTGACGGAAATGTTACGCCCCTCACCATACTGAGATGCCCTGTCTGGCCGAAGCGACGAGACAAAAACATTAAAACCCATTACAAACCAGGCATTTGTTGCATCCAGTGGGGACATAATTACGGATTATAATGATTTATACTGTCTTTTTACGCGTTGCGTTGCACCGCGCCGTGTAAACATAAAACCATGTCTGCATTTGTGATCGGAGAAATGACAAACTACAAACTCTACTCTACACTGCCCAAAACTCGCGTTTGAATCATCAGTGGCAAATCCTTTAAATGAAAACGTACTTACTACAGTCTGTGAGTCAGAACAGCCGGCATTGTAGTCTACTCTACCAGGATCAGAAAACAGTCCTCCATAAAATGCGCTGCACACATCTGAATATTTGGGTTGAACTGTTCTGGAACAGTGTTGTAAATACAACTTAACCACTGACTTGTAGTCGTGTCCTCTTTTGGAAGACCAAACAAAGTAGTTTCGCTTTCACAACGAAACACACAGCGTCTCCACGACATGACGGCGGCGGCAACAATACTACAGCGAGAATCAAAGTTATACCTTCTTTCTTTGAGTGAACGTTTGGGCGGTGTTATGCAAATCTTCCCACACAGTGACGTAGACATGCGGGGGCGTGTTTAAACGAGAGGTTTTAGGGGGGCGTGGACAAGTCTTAACTTTGATAAAGAATATCTCTTTGGGTTTGAGACTTTAGTTTTTGCAACTTTAGGGATCTTATCTATTCACGAACAGCTTGTAACACTCCAAAGAGAAAGGAAAACTTGAAATCGCATCATATGACTCCTTTAATTTATGCTGCTGTCACTGTCAGTTAGCTGTCATATGGATCAGAGTTCATATTTCATTTCATATAAAAGAAAGAATTGCTAAAGAGGATTAGCATTTCAAAATGGTAAATAATCTTTAGTTGATGTGGCAGATCTTTTAAAATTCAATAGACTGCCTTTTATTCATTACATGAACTGAAGTTGTTAAGTTGTCAGTTGCTAATTAAGTTAACCTAGGTTGACTGCGATAGGTAGCCTTATTTTTGTTTTTTGAGTTAGGTCAATTTTATTTTATTTTATTTTTTACAGTGTAGCAATGATACAAAATTGTTTATAACACATAAAAATGTTGTCGATATACAGCCTCACTTCCCGTTTGCCATCTTTAGGATATGGATTTTTGCTGTATTAATTTAAAGGGATAGTTCACCCAAAAATGAAAATTACCACATAATTTACTCACCCTAAGCCATCCTAGGTTATTATGACTTTCTTCTTTCAGATGAATCCAATCAGAGTTATATTAAAAATTGCCCTGGCTCTTCCAAGCTTTATAATGGCAGTGAATGGGTGTTTTTTTTGTCAATATTCCAAAAGAAGTCCAAAAAAGCGCATCCATCGATCATAAAAAGTGCCTCACACGGCTCCGGGGGAGTGAATAAAGGCCTCCTGAAGCGAATCAATGCATTTTGTAAGAAAAATATCCATATTTAAAACTTTATAAACCGTAATCTCTAGCTTCCGCTAACTGTCGTACGCGCGTTCATTCCGCCGGATGACGTAGCGCAAGCGCCTGTGAAAATATGCTAGTCTCGCGAAAACCAACGTTTGTTTACAGGAGCAAAGTTTCCTTACTTTAGCAAAGGAAAATAAGTCTCTTCTTGGCTTATATCGAAATCCTCTGATATTTTTCTTTACAAATCCTTGTTTTGTACTTCTAATTCGTGACCGACGTTTTGTTTTGCTCTCTCTGCTGCGCTTCCGCATTTGTCACTTCTCACCGGACATTACGCTACGCCTACGTCATCCGCCAGAATGAACGCGCATACGACAGTTAGCGGAAGCTAGAGATGACGGTTTATAAAGTTTTAAATATGGATATTTTTCTTACAAAAACGCATTGATTCGCTTCAGGAGGCCTTTATTCACTCCCCCGGAGCCGTGTGAGGCACTTTTTATTATGGATGGACGCACTTTATTGGACTAATGACTAATGACATTGGACTGATCACCCACTCACTGCCATTATAAAGCTTGGAAGAGCAAGGATATTTTTAATATAACTCTGATTGTATTCATAGGAAAGAAGAAAGTCATATACACCTAGGATGGCTTGAGGGTGAGTAAATTATGGGGTAATTTTCATTTTTGGGTGAACTATCTCTTTAAAGAAACTGCAGAGTCACCACTCCTTAGTATTCAGAGATTTAAACTATTACACTCTAGACTCGGATTCGGCTTTCTGAACCAGTAAGCAGCCCCAGTGGAAGTGTCTCATAAGAAACAGTTATTAGGCAAGTGACATTTGCTGCCCAACGGGGGAAACAGAAGGACAGGAAAGAAGATCACAGAGGACTTCAAACTCCGAGTGAAATACACAGAGGTGAAGCTGAAGGTTAGACCCGACATTGGTCAGAAAAATAGATCTGCTTTAGTCTAGTTTAAATGCATTCATGACATTTCTGACCAATGACTGGAAGAACATATTTTTGAATCAATATGATAAAAGATAATTCCTTTGCACATACGGAGAACTAACCCTTATGGAACGTGTCAGTTGTTCATAGTGTGTTTAATTAGCATGCTGATCTCACTGAAGTGGATGAATATTTAATGATGTGCAGTGAACCGCTGACCGCTGGGCTCAAGACTCATTATATCACTATACATCACTAGAAACGCATGCGGTTAAAGCAAACTTCCTCTCATCACACTCATCTCTAGCTAGAACATACTGTGAACACGTCAAACAAACCAAGCAGGAGAAAACTGGACAGATCAATGCACAGATGAAAAACACACACACACACACACACACACACACACACACACACACACAGAAAACTAAAAGTACCACAAGGTACATCATGACCAGTGCTCTATTTCCTGTGCACTTATTTGTAATTTGTTCAATGGCATGATACTCATTTTGTGTGTCTGGGTCTAATAGTTCATCTCTGAAATTCTGTGCGCAATTTCTTCTGAGAACTGAAGACTTGAATAAACCTCTTTATAGAACACATTTGCGATATGTTACGTAAAATCTACACAAGACTCATTCATCAGAGAATACTGGAAGAAAAAAAAAAAACTTAATAGGTTAACAGTAAGTTCCCGTACAACATACAGGGAAAAACTGATCTAACTGGACATTTCATGTAATTTTACAGTAAAATACTGTTAAATGTACAGTTTTTAAACAGTAAAAAAAGGCAAATCTAAGTATAATTTACAGTGGAAAAACTATAAACTGATATTCCCACAATTTCCTGTGTGACACTTCACATTTGAAAGTATTGTGTTTAAATAATTATGTTTCTTAATAGGTTTTGTTATCAGTTCTGCACATTTGGGTTTTTTGCTACATCTTCTGTTGTTTAAAGAATGTTTATTGCATTATTTTAGTGCCGTGTGTGTTGCCACAATGGTGTTTTGTGTTTGCGTGAATGACTGCACCTTCTGTATACTAGTATAATTCAGCTCGTGGAAACTTTTTCACGATTCTTCATGTTCTTCCTCTTTTACCACCTGCATTATTATGGTGGTTGTCAGAATATGTTAAAGGTACAAAATATATTTTTGTAGCAGTGTGCATTGTTGGATTTGCAGATTTAAATAGCAATTTTCTTGTTTGTAAATTACAGTTTTATACTGTGAAATTTACAGGTTGTTCTGTAAACATGTTTACATTTTTATTGTATTTTTTTATTGTACAGCCAGGATTTTTTGTTTTTGTTGTTTTTGTTTGTAAAAACAACAGGATTTTTATTTTATAGTGCACAGTATTACAGATTTTTTTCTGTATTTTTGATCAAATAAATGCAGCCTTGATGAGCATAAGAGACACATTAAGAAATATTAAAAATCTTAACTTTTGAACGGTAGTGTACATATATTAACCTAGTTACTTGGCAAAACATAAATATTTTTTTAATTTTCACAAAAGTAGTGAAGCAGTCATGTCTTAAAATATTAATATTTTATGCTTTTGATCCTCACAACAATTGTAATATTCATTACTAAAAATATCATGATTTTTAATCAAATGAAAAATGAGTTACCTTAAAAAATGTTTAACAACATCATCCATCATCAGATGTTCACACTCGTGTGTATTGAAGTTGTCAATGTAATTGTTACTTGTTTACACCACTTGAATTTTTTTCAATTAATATAAATGTTTTTGCAAATGTTAGAAGACATCAAGAATACAAGATCACATTTCTTTGACTATTCATTTTAAGCTATACATTTTCTTCCCGTTTTCATAATCTCACACAAGCTTATTTGTCACAGACCCACTTACTTGTGTCAGTATAATTATTGGAAATGTTAATGACAAGAAATGAGCAACAGGTCTATGAATATTTCAAAAGAATGTCTACAAAACAAAACGAGCGCAGTCATCCTAATTCAAACGATCCAAAACAGAACTCCAGAAATAATTTCACATCACTTTAAAATCATTCCCAAATCCCTCTACCTCTCTCCAATTTCCTGTCAGCCTTCTGGAACTCTGTGAAATCAGAGTAGTGCTGTCAAACGATTAATCGTGATTAATCGCATCCCAAATAAAAGTGTTTGTTTACATAATATATGTGTGTGTACTGTGTATGTTTATTATGTATATATACATACACACTCATGCATGTGTACATTTAAGAAAAATATGTTTAGTTTATATATAAAATATTTATATTTATATATAAATTATACACACACACACATATATATATATATACACACACACGTAAATATTTTTAAAATACATGTATGTGTGTGTATTTATATATACACAATAAATATAAACAGTACACACACATATATTATGTAAACAAACACTTTTATTTTGGATGCTATTAATCGCGATTAATCGTTTGACAGCACTAAATGAGAGTGATGTCATCAACACAACAGCATACAGACAACAACTTGTACAATCCCAAAAAAAAAGCTTCGAGTCAGAGGACCCTGAGAGTGTCTGGCTCACCTGTCCGAAGGTGCTGCTCTCAGAGCTGGTGCTGGCTGGAGTTTCTCGTTCTCTCTCCCTCTCAGGTGCCGTCTCTGGCACTCGAACCCGCACAAAGTTGATGACGTGATGGAGGTTAGACAGCAGGCTGGTGCCCGGGAACCAGCTGTCATGGCAGTGCTCCTCAATACAAGGCTCCTACGACAGAGTGAGAAAAAACAACTCAGCAAGACGGACAAAACAACAACAACAACAGCCTGGAATCCTGGAAAGCTTGTGCTTTCCGCTGCCACAAATAATCTAGTCAGAAGGTGTTCTGTTCTAACACTGGACTAACCCTGATTTAATTAGTCAAGTGCTAATAGAGTAATCACAGTCTGCCGTCTGGTAGTTGAGTTGAGTGTGTTAGGATACTACTTTGTTTCCAGGGAAACTGAAACACATGGAAGTTGTGCTGAAGCCAGCCAATCAGATTGGATCTTTGGGATGCACTTTTTTTTTTTTAAATCAAAAACATTTTGATTAAAAAAAAAAGAATTCCCGGTTTGCTTGTTTGTAGGGCTACGTAATTTAGCTAACAGCTTGTGATTATATATCAATATGGCTATAAAATAATAATAATTAATATTATTATTATTATTAATAACATAAAAAATACTAAATAAAAAAAACCCTACTGTAATATGTCACTGTAAAATAAAAAAATAGAGTATTTTTACAAAAATAATATAATAATTAAAAAATAATAATATAATAATTTATTTAGGGGAAAATGCTTACTTCTTCCACTTTATCATCCTGAACCGGATTATCAAGTCCAAGTTCTATCAGGTAGAGCACCATACACAACATATTATTAGTATTAATAACATAAAAAATACTAAATAAAAAAAACCCTACTGTAATATGTCACTGTAAAATAAAAAAATAGAGTATTTTTACAAAAATAATATAATAATTAAAAAATAATAATATAATAATTTATTTAGGGGAAAATGCTTACTTCTTCCACTTTATCATCCTGAACCGGATTATCAAGTCCAAGTTCTATCAGGTAGAGCACCATACACAACACATGTTCAGACATGTTCTGATGATCCATCCAGATCTAAACAAACATAAACACAGTCAACGGTTATCAAAAGACATTGGGAAAACCATGCATTTAATTCTTCTAAATGAACCAGACATCTACATATAACATGAAAAAAATTAAAATAAAATAAACCACACACATTTTATTCCAAGATAAGTTTCACCTTGTAAAGCAGTGTAAAGATGACGATATGTAGGGTTTTGCAGTGCAGAAGGCGCACCAGTCCTCTATAGCAGGGGTGCAGAGGGGTCCTCTCCTTATAGGGCGGCCAGGGGTTCCCCGTATGAATGCCTGACTGTTTCAAACTACAAAAAGGCAAAAATACTTATTAGACAATCATTAAACAATGCAACTGGCTTTAGCATAGTTTCCATACTAAAATTAAAAATCTAATTATAAAAAAAAAAAAAAATCCTTTTGAGTTTTTTTTCAGTGTAATCCTGAAACACAACATTAAACATCATTCGAAATGTATGCTAAAATAATATTTCACACCAAAACGTCAATTCTATCATAATTTATTCATTTGATTCATAGAATACAAAAGGAGATATTTATTTAGCAGATTGTCCTAGCTGCTCTTTTCCATATGATGTTAATGAATGGGGAACGGGAAAATGACAGCACCATAAAAGAATTATATAAATTGTCCACAACCTGTCTTCTGTAGTCATACAATAGCCTGTGTGAGGAAAAGACCCAAATGTAAGGCTTTACTGCCCGATCACGTTCCACTCATTAGTAGCTGTCAAATCAAATATGGTGTTTTTTGAGTGACATCAACAGTTACATCAAAAAAATGTTACAATGACATTACAACATTTACTTTAAAAGCTACTGTGGAGGTGGACAGGGGCCCTTCAGACCTGATTTTTTTTCACTGAACAAAATTTTTTTTATCCACTTGATATTTGCTCTTCTCCAATATATAAATAAGTCTAAAAAACAAGATTTGTGCCAAATCATTTTTTTATTAGATTTTTTTCATGTCCACTATAATGGACACCAGGACTGAAGAAAAATAAAAATCCCCATATTTTAACCATACATAATAAGTAGAGCTTGTGCACTATAGTTGAACACAGTTACATCAACAAAATGTTACAATGACATTACAACATTTACTTTAAAAGCTACTGTGGAGGTGGACAGGGCCCCTTCAGACCTGATTTTTTTTCACTGAACAATTTTTTTTATCCACTTGATATTTGCTCTTCTCCAATATATAAATAAGTCTAAAAAACAAGATTTGTGCCAAATCATTTTTTTATTAGATTTTTTTCATGTCCACTATAATGGACACCAGGACTGAAGAAAAATAAAAATCCCCATATTTTAACCATACATAATAAGTAGAGCTTGTGCACTATAGTTGAACTAGTGTTTAAGATTTTGAAAAGAACACATACTATAAGAATTAACAATGCAGTAAGTGATGTCCATTTCAATGGACGCAGGGTCCGAAGGGGTTTTAAGCAAAAATAGCTTAAAAAAATTATGCTTTTGTCAATTTGGAATTGAACAAACCTGAGCCTTCATTCACTTTTCATTATATGGAAAAGGTTGGCCAGTACATTCCCAACATGTTCCTTTGGGTTTTTTATTCGGTAACACTTATTCACATATTCACAACACATATTCACTAGTAACTAAGACTTTAGCCTCCATAAACCCCTAATTTGCTGCTTATTAATTAATAGTTAGTAAGGTAGTTGTTAAATTTAGTTATGGGGTCGGATTAAGGGATCTAAATACATTAGCTCTATTGTTTATAATACATTATGTATTTTAACAGTTTTGTTCAATAAAACCATATGATTTCTTGCTTTTGATACTTTATTTGAACTAATTATTATTGCCTCATTACTATTATATATGTATTTTAAGTAATTTTAAAGGCTATTGTTTACTTACATCTATTTTTATTACCACAAAATTTTTTTTTATAATTATAGGGCCCTATGAAATTCGTTTTATTTCCAAATTCATTTTTTTCCCAAAAGCATCTCCAATTAATTTATTTTATTAAAACAAAAAAAAAATGTTTTTTTTTTTTTCAGAAATACTGCACATTTACATTTTTCTCCTAAATAAATTCTGGTAAATAACATTTCTGGTAAATACTCCTTTAAAAAGTGTTTTTTGATTATAATTTTAATATTAGTAGACTAGAACACGTGGATATGTTGTCATTCTTACACTATAATACTGAACTTTGATTTCAGTGATTTGGACTATGAGATGGACACTTGCTTCTTGCACTCTATGTTGCACTTTACTTTTGCTTTAAAAAAAGGAATTCATAGAAATTTGGATTTCATTTGGTTTAATAAAATATAGTTTAATAAAATATTCTTAAGTAAAATAGTGGTTGTTTTTTGTGTGTGGGAAATTAATCATTTAGATTAATCGATAAATTACTCTGTAGATTAATCGAAATAAAAATAGTCGTTAGTGGCAGCCCTATTTTGGAATCACTTTAGGCTGCTGACGTGTTTTTATTACTACCATACATATGGAAAATCCGCATGTGGCTGAGATGAACAGGAAATGTTTGTAAAGGCTGTGGTTGGAGAGGGAGTCTGTATTGATTCTCCGTGACATGACTCTAATTGGGAAAACCCATTTCAGGTCCAAGTCCCTCCATGAACACCTTCCTCAGAACAAGAAAAGTAGTGACCCTGAAGAAAATTCCCTCTATTACACAGCGTCCCTCAAACTCAAGGTCAGCAGCGTACAAAATCGAGCGCTTTAGGGCTCCATAGGTGAGTGTTTTTTTTTTTCTTCTCAGTTTGGTTTCAGCATCATCTCAGAGAGGTTCCACCTCAGACTGAATGTTTTACAGCAGTTGTTTCCCAACATTACTGGATGAAACAATTCCCAGAGTCTCATTTCCTCATTTAAGACTGCCTACATTAGTCCATTTATGCCTTATCTAGGAACAGGAAAACTCTGTGCTGTCACTACCCCTAACATTTACAATGATTCAAACTTCACTGAATATATGCGTGTATAAACTGTGCCGTATTTGAATGCTTTTATAGACTGTACCTTAAGGAATGTCGTTTTGTGATAAATGAAGTGAAACAGTGATGAAACAATGATAAAGTGAATGTTGAGATGAGGAGGAGGTCTGGAGGATTTCAGAGACTCACAATGCTGCGTATCGATCCATGGCCGACTGCACGTCTCTGCGGTACACTGTGCGTAGAATCACCATTATAGGGTCAAACTCTTTCTCCCAGACTTCCGCTGGAAAACACACACGCAGGAAATAAACACAGGGTGTGAGTTATGAAAAAGGAGAATACTTTAGAAACAGTCTCAGCCTGCCACCATGTGGCGAGAGCTGAGCAATAAGCTTGATGACCACAATACAGTTACATAGTAAATTTTTTGTATAATAATTATATAACTATGATACTGTTTTAGAAAACGAGCAGTAGAAAACTCATCGTTTGAATGCTGAAACGCTGTATAAATATCGATTACCAAGGAACGGATGAAAATATCCTGATGTTTAGTTGACTCCTGTTACCTAAACTCATGTCATTAGCACTACAGCACACTTGCACCACAGTGACTAATACATGTCAAAAATGAACAAAAAAGAGACAATTTATTTATCTAATCAGCATGAAAGTATGATTTCTGATGGATCATGTGCCACTGAAGACTGAAGCAATTATGCTGAAAACTCCACAGGAATAAAATACATTCAAATGTGTTATTTAAAACTGTAAAAGTATTTCACAATATTACCTTTAAAAAAACAAAACTATTTTGATCAAATAAATGCAGGCTTGGTGGACATCAGAGACTTCTTTGCATAACATTTTAAAAATCTCACCGACCCCAGATACTAAAATGCCCATATCTTAAAAATCAATCAGAGCTGAATTTCAAATGTACAGAAATATGTTCGGTCACGTTCCATAACAGGTATGAGAAACACAAACACAGCTATTGCTTCTGTCCTAAACGTTACAGTCATAGAGTCACACTGCCATCTGGAGGTAATGAGAGGCACACACAACATCCGAAAACAATGAATTTACAGAAAAATAGCCTCTCATAGTTTAATGGTAAAACAATAAGGTGTGTCACCTTTAGGCGTGTACATGCCCTGCTGCATGGATCCTCCAGGCTCAAACACCGGGGCTTTGAAATCAGCTACAGCAGACAGCATCTCCTCAAAACTACAGCTGCCTGGCACCACACCGCTCTTAGGGTTCGGATTCTCCGGGATCTACAACCACGGTCAAGGACAAGCATCAAACTCTAATGTGATCAAATTATTAAAGAGGTCAATAATGTGGTAAGTGTCAAACATTAGTTATACAGGAAGGCCTGTGTGGTTGTGAATGTTCTGATGTTTTGTTCGTTTGTTTCCATTATTTTAAATAGTACATCTTTAAAAAGTGTCATATATTACTTATTACTGTCATTTTATTTAGCTCCACTTATAAAGGTTTTCCACTTTCTCTGGCCATTTAGAAACCACTTGTGTTCTCTAAGAAACAAATGAGCAATAGCACTCTCGGAAAGGATTTTGGCTTGTACATACATCCTTTAATAACAACTTCTTTACCTAGCTGCATAATGTTATGACACATGTGCTCAGTCTATTTGGACTGGGGTTCTTTCTGGAATTCTTTCACAATTCAATTAGCTCTTAACCAAAAGAGAGAGGAGAAGAGAAGTTGATTCTCATGATACAAAATCGAGGACAACTTGACAAGCTGTACTAACGCTTGCAAAAACAATCAAAGCTGTACATCATGTTTTCATGGTGAAAGGATACAAGATCTAGCAGGGAACTGTGGGTACGATCATTCATACACAACTGTGACACCATCTCCGCTCTCAAAATCTCATCATCTGACATTCCTACAATGACACACAAATAGAGAAAGACATGAGCTAATATCTACATCTCTAAACACACAATACACATGAGACAAGCTCATGCGTGCTAACACTGTATGATGTGGAAGACCGAAAGAACGTTTATAGAACACACTTTCAAAATGCAGGTGTGAGTCCCATTAATTTTAATGGCTCTTATTTATAGCCAAACTGTGTGAATGTAACCGCATTCAGCACTCTAAAACCTTAGATTTACCAATTAGAAGTAACATATAATAGCATTTGATTTCTGAGCTTCATATTGTCTGTATTATTGAGATGGAGAAGATATGCACCTAAGTGTACTCTGAGACTGCACAGGATGACCAGGAAGGTCAGCGCCCCCTCCAGCATGGGTCTCTCCTGCTCCGAGTCCAGCACTGCGTTCTGATGCTGAGACGCCATCGTCAGCAAATCCACCACCTTGAACCTGACACACACACAAAGCTTTTAGCATCCATCGCTGAGTGTAAAAACACAATCCAAGACAGAAAAGTTGTCGTACCTCTCAAACACTGAGGAAATGAAGTAATCTGGATCCAATCTAGATGCACACACCTAAAGACCAAAAATAATAATAATACACTCAGAAAGTGCTAAATATTAGTAGCAATGGGCTTTCGGCTCAAATTCTACTGAAGAAAATTTCTGTATCATGCGTGTCTTCTAACAGCTTCTTAAATTGAAGTAATCACATGATGTGCTGTTGTGGCAAAAAATCATGGACCCTGGATGAAGACCTATTTCAATACAGAAGTGTTAGGTGAGCGAGCAGGAGAGAGAGTGTGTCAGCATGTTACCTGCAGGAGGTAGATGTCCGGGTCAATCATGGAGTTACAGAAGTGAGACTGGACATAAGTCATGGCCTGGCCTTTAATCTGCAGCCCATTTCTCACCCACATGTTACTATGGATCTCAGACAGGCTAGCCTGCACACACACACACACACACAGATCAACACATGGGTCCCGTCTGCTTATCACACACTGTAGCATTACCATCGTAACATCAAGTAACACGCCAGAAGTGAAATGCGAGACATCAGTGAAGATTTATGACAAACGGCTGCTTCAGCTGTCCTCTGCTTCAGCAGCGTTTAAAGCACTGATGGACAAAATGAAGCCTTGTGTGTGGCCGTATTTTAGAACCCTGTTCTAAAACAAAAGCAATACTTCACAATATAAATAACATCAGTGGGAACAGCTCATATATACAGTTCTAGGGAGTCCAGATTCATTGGATTTTCTTTCACCCATGAAACATATCTTTCTGTGTTTCACGTGTTCTGAAGAATGCAAGCATGTCTCAGGTTTTGAAAACTGTAACAGAGGGGTACGGGGGCACCACGAGTGAACTGTCCAATGGCATTTTTTAAATCGACTGACAAATAGACTTAAACAAAAAAAAAAAAACTCACAAAATGAAACAAAACACTTGGCAACTTTCCTCTTTTTATGTTTTCACTACCTTAAAGGGATAGTTCACCCAAAAATGAAAATGTGATGTTTATCTGCTTACCCCCAGGGCTTCCAAGATGTAGGTGACTTTGTTTCTTCAGAACACATATGATGATTTTTAACTTTAACCTTTGCAGTCTATCAGTCGTATAATGCATGGCAATGGTAACAAAATCTATGAGAGTAAAAAAAACATGCACAGACAAATCCAAATTAAACCCGGCGGCTCGTGACGACGCATTGATGTCCTAAGACACGAAACGATTGGTTTGAGCGAGAAACCGAACAGTATTTATATCATATTTTACCGGTTATGGTTGATTGCTCTTCGGCTGGATATCCACACACCCATTAATGTAAACTACGCCAGAGCGCGTACACACCTCACGCACCGGATGCCGTGCGCGCGCTCAAAGACAGTTGGACATAGTGGTGTATTAGAGGTAAGAAATGATATAAATACTGTTCGGTTTCTGGCACAAACCGATCGTTTCGTGTCTTAGGACATCAATGTGTCGTCACGAGCCGCAGGGTTTAATTTGGATATGTCTGTGCATGTTTGTTTTACTCTCATAGATTTTGTTACCATTGCCATGCATTATACGACTGATAGACTGCAACAGCTGGAGTTAAACATCATCATATGTGTTCTACTGAAGAAACATAGTCACCTACATCTTGGAAGCCCTGGGGGTAAGCAGATAAACATCAAATTTTCATTTTTGGGTGAACTATCCCTTTAAGACATACATTAAATAATGTCAAAATTGTTACGTTTATTTTATTCAACTACAGTTTTAAATGTCTATTAATTTGTCAATTTAAAAGCAATTGATTTATCTTCATTTTTATGTGTGAATTATTAAATTGATAACTTGTTCCTTCACTTAAAGTTAGGGTAGGTGATTTCGGAGAGGCTAGCAATAGCAAGCTAGCTTTGAAAGCATAAGATCCCACCCTCACTGCAAATCACTCTCCAAAGCCACGCCTCCTCCAAAACACATGACTGCACTCAGGCAGAGCAGAGGCTAACTGGCGACATGATGAGAGACGGCGTTGCTGGAGGGTTGAAACTCACGTCTCATTCACTGCTGAGAAAACATTACATTCTCGGTCTGCAATAGCGTAATGGAACGCGCTAGTGAATGATGTATCATGTCTGCACAGAGGTATGCAAATACATACGTTGACAGGCAGGTAAGGACAGCCTATCCTAGTCCCCGGACCGAGGAATATGATTGGACGAACATTCTATGCCTACACATTCCACAAATGATATAAACATATAAATTAGGGCTGTCAGTCGATTACAATTTTTTATCTAATTAATTACATGGTGCAGCGATTAATTAATCGAATTAAATCGCAAATTAAATTTGGCTGTGAAAATACCCACAAAAGATTATTTAAAACTATTATTGTGTTAAATGAGAACGTATCGAGTAGACATTACAAATAGTAGCTTTAGAAAGAAATATTTTATTTGATTCAACATAAAATGTATTACACAAACGTTTAGGCTACAACAGCCTAACATAAACTACGGAACATAAAAGAAGATAATTTGAGAAACATCTACTGTATTTGTTTTGTATTTTTTGTTCATGCAATGAAAGTCACTGGTAACCAAAACCGGAGGTGATATAGCCTATTCCTACATTACTTGAAGCTCCTTGATGGCTAATGTCAAAATCGTAATTGCACAATGTGCAAAATGCTAGACTTCATGTTAAATATTTTTCATAGGTTAGTACTCAAGAGTCTGCACTCAGTTTGTGATATTCCTGTTATACAGTATTTTAGAGTAAACAGTAGGAATGCAACAATACAGTTAGCCCAAGGTTCAATAAATACCTCAGTTTTTTAAACACAGTTTTCAGTTTGGTTCTGATGGTTTGGCACAACAGATTTCTTTTTAGCGATTTTAAATGCTATTTAAAAAAAAGCTAACTCCACTATACTTTAAGTAAAACTCCAGTACATTGTTGTACACTGTAGAAAAACATGGATTATCACGTCTACCTTAAATTTATTTTGAGAGAAGTATTATTTTTATAGATTGGCCATTATTTAGTGCTATGAACACATGTAATGTCTGTTTCATTCATACTGGATACTAGAGGGCGCCCCTGCGCAGAAAGTCCACATATGCATCACCGAAGAAATAGAGCTCACGACTCCAGGAAATACCATACACGTGTTTCCTCATCTCAGCTCACGACTCAGACACACAAACAGAGCCAGTTTGGAGAGAAATATTTTTAAAAAAAAATTTAAAAAAACCCCGGAAAACGCTCTGATTGGTTGAACTTCTCAACTTTTTCTGTTGCTTGTTTACTGCGTGTGGACAGGTCACCGGGTTTTTGCGTAGTTTAGAGTGACAAAGCGTACCCGCTACGCAAAATGCGCACAGGTTGGCAGGTCTGTCATTGGTTCACACGATTCGTTCAAAATGAGGAAACTAAACACTGCTGTGTTGCTCACAGACGCACAACAGTTCTGCGGTGGCTTCATAGGTAATCTTGTTGTTGGCAAAATTGAGCAAAAACACACAATATTAACTTCTTATTTACTGAACTGTTGTATAAAATCACATTTGCACTCTTGCTATTTGTGTAAAAACAGCACTTGTGTGAAATTGCTCTCGCTGCTCGTGTGATATCGCTTATCGTAATATAAATATGAGACAAAAACTCATACAGGGGCATTTTTTGCCCCAATATCTTGAATTTTAGGGCATAACTGTATTTATGTTTGTATGTTTGTCAACAGTCAACTGTATGAAATGTAAGATGACGTACAGGTCTGGGGGCGGGGCCAGTGCATTAACTGTGCTAAAATATTTTAATTGCGTTATTTTTTTATGACTAATTAAGTTGACGCATTAAACTGACAGCCCTAATATAAATACATTTAGACCACTTAACTTAGTGATTGCTATCGGGATATGAAGATAATTTCAACCAGCATAACAAAACATGTTTTTGAACCACATCACCTACCCTGCCTTTAATTGTAAGTGTGGCTCTTAGTCCTCCACAGTGGGGAAGACTTTCAGAGAATGAATTTTGATCTGTTTCACACACAAAGCCATCATATGACCTTAGAAGACATGAAATTTAGTGTACCAGTCGTATCTGCTACTTTGCTATGATATATTTGTAGTCTGGCCAGCACTGGTAACTGATAACAATAAGAATTTGTCTGATTTTCGACACAAGGGTGAACAAATGCTGACAGAATTACACTGATTAATTACACACAATCAGGTTTATTGTGTGTAATCATTAATTACACACTTCTCTTAATGTCTTAATTCACCTTCATTGTTTATTACCTGTATCTGAAGAGGGTGAACCATGATCTTCATAAGCATCTCCTGATCAGGAAGCAAACTGTCCAAATCCAGACCTTGACACTTCACTCCCTGCAAAACAACAAAAAATAACTGATTAGTTTATAATCAGGTTCATAAAATAAAGGCTTCAAACAGACCAACTGCTAGATCCCCATTTAAAATCTGATTCTGGAGCAGCTCTTTGCTGAAGAAAAAAGGTCAATAAATCACATATTCCTAAATCAATAAATATCTGCATTTTGTTTTTGGTCAAGTATGCAGACTTTTTGCTGTGACTGACATATACTGTACATGCTCAATACGGATAGCATTTTTGGTGACAGAACTGGGACTAAAAACTGCCCCGGATTTTGCAGGTCCATCACAATTTATACCAAATACACATACAAGTGCTGATATGCACAGTCCATACTTTTTACTGTTTGCATCACTCCACATATCCGTGCTTGCTCGTTTCAAACTGGTTCTCAATATTAGTGGTTGGGATTTTTCAATGAATCTTACTGCAGGTTGCATCCTTTTACAAGGAGGAGACTGCCTTTATGAGTAAGACATTGAATTATTCACTCAACTGATTAGTTGAACAACACATGGGTTCTGAGTGTGTCAGACTGTGCTTCAAGCTCACCTTGCTGAGGAACATGGCATAGTATCTATGGAGAGGTAAATGAAAGGTCAGCTGGTTGAGGGCAGGCTGTGACAGAGAGAGAAGGGGGGGGTTGGGTTATTCACTGGTTCCACTTTATCAAGACACAATCTGACAGTGTGAACATCAAGACTGTACCTCATCTACAAACCCAATGGCATCAAACCACATCTGAAGAGTTTCCAGACAGTACCGCACCACTGTCTTAGTGTACTCTTGGGTCTCCTGGCAACACACAATATTTTTAACTCATACACAAACCTCCTTAAAAAACACTAATAAAGGGCTGTTCACACAGAACGCATTTTTGAATTCTACTGCGCTGCTTTTCCATTGTATTTTAATGTAAGCATGTGCAAGATGGGTGTCTCATGTCCTTTGCAGCATCTCATACATGACACAGTGCTCTAAAAATGAGGCACGAATGTCTCAAACCCTTACGCCCCACAATCTTCTTCTCGCATTTATTAACACACAAATGCATTCTGTGTGAATGGCCCCTGAAAGCAATCATCAATTACATGTATCTATTGTACTACACCAACAATTCTAGAAGAGACGAACCTGCAAACCTACGTGACAAAACCCTAAAATACAACTCAGTATGCAACATCTAAATGAGAGCATTTTAAAAACAAAAAGGTGCTGAGTGTGATGCATGTAGAGATGAATGTAGCCTCACTTTGACTTTGCAGTGTGTTAGGAGACCCCACATGGGCTGAGCACAGGCCTCCAGCTCAGCTGCAAACGCTGCATAATACGTCTGAGACTCAAACTCCACGTGCTCATTCAGCTCTCTCTTATTCAGATTCATCCCTAACACAGCAGAAGGCACAGAGAGGAAATCCATAACATCAGAGTGAATTATTGACTCAGTTTCAGTTGTAACATAACCTATATCGCACAGAGAGTTCTTTCATTTTAATCAACAAAATCAAAACGTCCTTCGCAAAATGAATAGTCCTGGATGCTTGTTATGTAGTTAACATCTATAAAAGGCATTCAAGGCCATGCTATATTGTAAGTACAGTCACATTATCAATAGCCTATTTTACAATAAAGCACAGCCTCTCCTAACTCATTGCTTAAGTAAACACTAATTCATTCGCATTTCTAATTCATAGGACTGAGAGAAAAAAAAAAAAAAAGCACTACAGACTTTGAAACAAAAACTGTATGACTGCAGGATTTCCTTTCAGTCACTGACCTTGGAAGAAGGAGGCGAAACTCATCCAGAGCAGCAGCAGAGAATGATCCTCCAGGAAGCGCTTGGCCACACTTTGGTGCGAGAGGATATTAATAAAATCACTAACTAAAGGCCAGTAGGTGTTATTCTTCAGTAGAGCTTCACCACAGTTCACCACCACGTGACGATTATTCTCCTCATCTGTGACAGATCGAAGACATTTTGTAGCCAGCAATCCAATACATTTGCAAATAGTGCATGGTATGCATATTGCAAGTAGTGTGCAAGGGTTGAACACAGCCTACACTTTGCTTCTTTTGTTACCTTGCAGTTCGCTCTTGATAAGGCAGCTCTCCATCATGTAGAGGAGCACAGTGACCATGATGTCCAGTAACTGGCACTCCTCTGTGACATGTCTCGCCAGCTCCTCGTTACTGAAGAGCTGCACGCTGATGTGAACGATGCGGTTGGACATGGTGTCCGACTCGTGACTCTTCATGAGGGTCTTCATGATGAAGGCATAGTGTTGTACAAATGTTTTAGTGAAAGTGATCTGTGGCACAGGAGAAGGACATTCACATGTTATAGATTTTGATTAAAAAAGTAACAAAAAAAATATATATTTTTAAAAAATATTTAGAGATCATGGACTGGTTGCACCAGCTATACAAAAGTTACAACTCACAGCCTTGTGGTGTAAAAGGGCACTAATTTACACACTATCACATATTTGCCTATATGATATACATATATTAAACTTAGATGAATGATGATCACTGTATGTAAGGTCCAATATTAATACTCCCAAAGTTGCAAAGAGCGTAACAAAATGTAGAAATGCTAGTAAATTTAGGAAAAGAAATACTGCCGATTTACAGGTTAAACAAAGCAAAGGTTGATTTTGGATCCTGCATACATAAGAGTTTGCCAGCATTGAATACCTTGTAATCCTGATCTGGCAACATGTTGAGCAAAAAAGTGACCATCTTCTGTGGAAATTCATACTTAATAGTCCAAAACAATAACTCTTCTAAAAAACATTTATGTTTCAGGGTGTCCATTATGGATGGATCTAACAAAAGAGGAAAACAGCAAGGAAATGCAATTGTTTTTGTTACTACATTATTTGGGGAATAATTGTTCGTGAGATCTACGGATGATGAGATCTAACGGACTCTACCTTTGGTAGTGCTACTGAGCTTCACTCTTTTCCTCTGGCCCACACCCTGCAGCCCATCCTGATCCTCCTGTTAGACAAATACATGAACCGCCTTTAATTTGACCCACTATTCTCAACAATGAGCATGGCTAAAACAATCAGTACAGTGGCTAAAAGAAGGCTGTATTCTCAACAATGACACAAAAGGAAGACACACCCTACTGTGTTTGTTTTGACTAGTTGCTGGGTCACATTTTATCTGTCCCACAATCTGTGTGCCTACCTCTTTGCTAGAGTCCTCCAGACTGGCAGCGGCAGTAGCTCCTAAAATAATAATAAACAAAGAAAAAAATTATAACCGTGTTTCCAAAGAGTCATCAAGACCTGTTTCTCCCCATTCACCCATCAGGCATGAAGCACAGAAGAGGCAGCAAGTGTTACCCAGTAGACTGAGCGCTCCTGCCCCAGCTGGAGTATCTGTTGCCCCAGCTCCTGCTCCTTTCTCCTCCACTGACACCAGACCTGAACTCTTCAATGCTGACAAATACTTCTCATAGTTCCTCTTCGCATAAACATTCTCCTCTTGACCTGTGGGTGTGGGACAATACAGAAGTGTGAATGCTGAGCTGAAAATGAGTTAAAAAATGTATGTGCCTATTTTTAATGGGGGTCATATGAATAGCTGCAAAAACAGCTTAATTAAAAACCGTTGGAATTATGATGTTAAAAACCAAAATACATCAAAGCATAAAAGTCCACATTTAAACATCAGTAACAACAGTTCAGAATATGTAAGTAATGGGGAAGTAGGATATAGGATATACTTTTAAAAATACTTTTCCGAAAGGGGATTTTCACAGTTATGCCATAAACAAACCATTTCCAGGGAAACTTTCAGTGAACAGTTCTTAAAAAAATGTGTGAAGAACATTTTAAGAATCTGAAGAAACATATTCCACCCTAAAGAAGCTTTTGTGGAAAGGAAAGTTTCCATGGATGGTAAAGTTTCTTCATGGAATCAAAGATGCAAATAAAGAACCTTTATTTTTAATAGTGTACAGTATCTCACAGAAGTGAGTACAACCCTCACATTTTTGTAAATATTTTATTATATCTTTTCATGTGACAAAACTGAAGAAATTACAGAACATTGTGGTGTTTATGGCTCCCAGAGATTATTATTATTTTTTTAATAAAAATAAAAGCCTAAGTTTAACCAGATCCATGATCACTGCACATCGTTTTATGATTCGGTCACAATGTAAAGCAGCTTTGTAACTGGCTGTTATTGAAGGATGGATATATTTAAACAGGACAGCAAACCCACAACCTATCAGTAAATAGTGATTTGTTTCACATTTGAATAAGACAGACAATTATAACAAAGGTCATTTGCATATATAGGTTTTAAAGGGCACAGCAACAACAACAGCCTTTTTAATTGTAAAGGTGAGAGAGTGGAAATGGTCAAACAAACAAATAAGTGATAAATGAAACAACCCCAGTAAACAAAAGGTAATTAAAAACTCAAATGACTGGAAAAAAACAGATGCACGCAGACACGACTTAAATTGTTCGACTACTCTACAGGCAAAACAAACACATTTCTCAGACATACTCACCCATGCTAAGTTCTTTAAAGGTCTGCTGATTGGTTAAGATCTTGGTGAGAACAGTGCGCATGGCCCCGCCCATCTTGGTGAGCTCTTCTAAGAAGGATATGTGCAGGTCTAACTGCTGCAGAACCTTCTGCAGATCTCTGTCAGCGGCCGACTCTGCCAGCACATGATAAGATGTTTGTGTGTGACAAAATAAAGCAGCATGTGATACCCCAGTGGGCAGGACTAGCAGGCTCAGCCAGTACATGCCACACACGGGGCTAATATTATTCAAAAGCACAGAGAAAGCAGTTGACGTTATTTTACATCGCAGATGGTCTTATTCATTAAAATACTATTTGTAAAAGCTAAGCAAAGTGTTTCTAATCAGATTATGAGCTGAATCCACTGAACCAGGTCCAAACTAAACACTTCAAAGACCCCATGAAATAAAAACTGGAGTTTTGTGGGTTTTAGTTCTATGAGCTTTGAGGAAATCTAGTGTACACCTATAAATTCACAAAACAGCCTTTAGACAACAAACACATTTAAAATATAGCATTTCTCAAACAGGAAGATGGGCCAAACATATTGATCATAGAAGTAGGTTTCTTCGATATGCCCCGCCCCAACTCTATAGGAAATATATCAACATATGATGCTTGATGCTCGTGAAGACATTTCATGTGGTCTTTACAGCAGTTACAGCACTGTATGTGCATTAAAGAATGAATGAAGAATGCTGGTAACTGAACTTTGGTTCCCATTGACTTCTATTATATGGACAAAAAATACAATGGAAGACAACAGGTATCGAAACTGTTTGGTTCCCAACAACATCAAATAATGCCATAATTTTCATTTCTGAGTGGACTATCCCTTTAAAGGAAGAGTTCACCCTAATATGAAAATCTGATATGGATTTACTCACCCTCAGGCTATCCAAGAGCTATCAGTTTTTTCTTTAACAGAACATTTAGAGAATTCAGAGAAATGTAGCATTATATCACTTGCTCACCAGTGGATCCTCTGCAGTGAATGGGTGCCGTCAGAATGAGAGTCCAAACAGCTGATAAAAACATCACAATAATCCACAGAAACATCTAATAGTCGTGTTTAGTGAAACTCTATAATAAACAAATCCATTGAGACATGTTTAACTTCAAACCTTTACTTCCAGCTAAAATAAGAGTCCTCTATTCATAAAATTACTTTCGCTTTTGTGAAATCCAGTCTGAATCAGGAGAGAAATATGCACAGATTAAAAAAAGAAAAAAACATTTGCAAGCGAAACTGTTGTTGTTGGTGGATTTTGATGTGAGCAGACAAAAGGGAATGGACTTTTTCACTAGATTAAGCATTTTTATGTATTATGGACTCACATTTTGGCCAGAAGTGATGTTTAAAGTTAAAACTGCCTTAATGATGGATTTGTTCGTTTCTTTTTTGTTTTTTTACAAACAAACAGCTTTTCACTTCACAAGACGTTAACTGATAGAATAGAGACGTGTGGATTATTGTGATGTTTTAATCAGCTGTTTGGACTCTCATTCTGACGGCACCCATTCACTGCAGAGGATCCATTGCTGAGCAACTGATGTAATGCTACATTTCTCCAAATCGGTTCTGATGAAGAAACATCACATATACATCTTGGATGGCCTGAGGGTGAAACTTCCAATAAATTAAATTTTAGGTGAAGCATTTCTTTACGGTGTGATCTGGTGTCCTCACCTGGCTCAGTGTAGCCGTCTCTCAGGTACTGAATGATAGTGATGATAAACCGCGGCAGCACCATCTCAGACATGAGCAGCAGATCCCGAGGGACTGATGGCACATTCTCTCCCGTTTTTAACCGATGCCTACAGCAAAACCTGTCACACAAGAGCATGTAAATTAGAATTCAACATGTCAGCTGAGCTGAATTTGCTGTTTAGTGCACAAAAATCCCATTGCCATTGTAACAAATACAAATTCGTATACAGGAAAAACCCCAATCTGATGTCTGAGGTCACATCATGTTTCCATAAAGGTCAATGGGCAACCACAATATGCAATTCTTCAAGTTTTTCACGAACATCATAGAGGAGGTGTAGGAATAAAAGATCTGTGTTAGATCAGGGCTCAAAAATATCATAATACAACACTATATTTTCCCCATTCATTTTCATCACAGAGTTGAAAAACGGGCAGGGGCAAACCCACCAGCTCAGAGGACCTTATGTGACCCTGGACCACAAAACCAGTCATAAGGGTCAATTTTCCGATATTGAGATTTATACATCATCCGAAAGCGGAATAAATAAACGTTCCCTTGATGCATGGTTTGTTAGGAAAGGAGGACAATATTTGGCCGAGATACAACTATTTGAAAATCTGGAATCTGAGGGTGCAAAGAAATCAAAATATTAAGAAAATCACATTTAAAGTTGTCCAAATGAAGTTCTTAGCATTGCATATTACTATCAAAACTGAAGTTTTGATATATTTACGGTAGGAAATTTACTAAATATCTTCATGGAACATTATCTTTACTTATTATCCTAAAGATTTTTGGCATAAAAGAAAAAATCGATAATTTTGACCCATACAATGTATTGTTGGCTATTGCTACAAATATACCCCAGCGACTTAAGACTGCTTTTGTGCTCCAGGGTCACATATTACAATCATCATGAAAAAAACAAAGACAAACAATTGTTTTAATTGGGAATGAACTATTTATCCCATGAAGCATTGCAACAGACACAATATAAAAATATATATCCAACGACATCTATAAGTCAGTTTTAAATGATAAGCATACAAACAATACGCTTTATTGCAAAATGTTCATATATATATATATATATATATATATATATATATATATATAAACATTTTGCAATAAAGCCACAAATCCATTCATCTCTTGCAGCATTGGTATTTGAAGTCATTGCTGAGACCTCTAATGATGCACAATCCATATGCTCAACTAGACAACAACAAATGCCTAATATTAGGGGTGGGAATCTTTCTGTACCTTACGATTCGATTCAAATCAATGCTTTAGGTCATGATTTGATTTGATTTTGATTCATGCATAGATTTGATTTTAGTTTACTGTTACTTTTCCTAATTGAGTGCAGGAGACAACAAATCTCACTGAATTGAATGTAAACCTTGAAATGTATTGTTTTGTCTTCCCATTTTTGTCAACCCAGTATGATAAATCAAATACAGTTAAAGCTGACTGTGATCATAACACAAGGGAAGGCAGCCCTGAGATAAATAGAAAACTACTTAGTACATAAATAAAATTCCTTGATACAACAATAACTGTATAGTCTTCACTGTATGAATTACATATAAATTGATTCATAATAAAGATACAAAAGTGATTCAATCAAAAGTAGTGAGTGTTTTGCTTCTTCTAAACATTAATGTAACAGACAGCATTAGACTAAACATATTAATTTTAGTAAATTAATAACTTCCTTTTAATTAAACTTCAAAGTATAATCTGATATCATGATACCAAAAACATTTCTTATCTTGTTGCTGAATGAACCACTCAGTTTAAACAACAACAACAACAACAAAAATGTCAAGCTAGTTTTATATATATATATATATATATATATATATGCAAGTAGACTGGTAGCGTAGAGAGAAAGACTCGATTATGCCATTAACTGGCTATTAAAGTCACAATGAAACAGAAGTAGCGACAGATATTTTCTTTTGTATTATTATCGGAAAAGAAAAAATGGTTTTGGAGGGCTGAAACCATTGACTGAAACAGTGATATTTAATTAGCACTTCTCCGATGTCTCAGAGATGTTTTGACTTTGACTTGATATTGATTTCTGGATTTCAACTGATCTTAATTCTGATAAACCAATAACGATTCTTAAATCCCATTAGTCTATGCTGATTTCTGTTGATGCTGGAACAAAATTCCCAAACGCCTCCCATCCAATAATCAAACAATAAATGACTTCAATCATTAGCGATTTTTAAGTGTTAAGCATTAAATCAATTTGATTCATCAATTGATTAAACAACCTATTTTCAGTTTGGGTTTTCTGTTCAATTTAAACTTTAATTTCAGTTTCAGTAAATAATTATTTGGGTGCATCATTAATTTGACTTCTGGAGCCCCACTGTTGAACACTATTGCAATATAATAAAGCACTAAACTAACAAGGATTGCTTCCTAGAGACTCATACTAAATCAAAAAACAAAATACTATGCTGGCATAATGGTGCAGTGTGGTAACAGAAGGTAAGACTTTGACATTTACCCCAGCACTGAATGACAGATAATTAAATCCATGAAATTCATGATAAATAAACCCCTTTACTGATCAAATACACTCAATCTTTTGAGCTCCAGCTGACAGCGGTCATATCCGGCCCCCACATCCGAACCTCTAAACGTCTGTCTATCTCACAGCACAAATGTTAAAGAGAAGGCCCTGGCCTGCACAGTGAGTAGTGTGAGAGGAGGAAGGGAAGAGACCTGCCACTGACCCTGTGGGTGGGTTAAAAATAACCCAGACTGTGTCACTCTCTGTAAGGCAGTGATCAGGTGCCACAGCCCGTCTGACTGTCACCCCAGCCCTTATGTTAGTGCACATATATATCAATCAATGCACAGCTGTGCCTAAAACCAAACCAACATTTGAGCTGCGCTGATTCGGAACGCACCTACACTGTAAAAATTATTAAGTAAATAAAACAAAGATTACTGGAGTACGTTTTACAGGACAATGCTTTGTAAATCTTTCTACTTCAAAATGTCACATTTAATCAATGTGTTACTTGTTTCTTTGTAATTATTAGTGAAATGTACTATCAATTTTTGAGTGAAAATTAATTCCAATTCATTTAAATGCTGGAAATTCTGGTCACATTTTTGACACCCTACTATTTTGATGATTTGAAACATGCCTACAGTGCCCAAAAACACCTATGGCATGAACCGAAGCTCACTAGGTTTGAGGGTGTTTTGCCCCAAAATACTGCTGATTCAGAACCGGCCCATGAAGAGGAAATACTGAGAATTCTAGTTGAGTTTGAGACTCAAACCGCTGCTCTTTCTAAAAGTGCCTATGATGCCCCAAAATGGTGCGGATTTAGAACACACCAATGATTTCATGCTTATTAAAACTATGTCTAGGTGGGCAGCGGTACACTAAGTTTGAGACAATGTCCAAAAAATGGTGCTGATTCAGGATAGACCTATGATTTGATGCCCCAATCAGCACAATAGGTTGGACACCTATGATGCCCCAAACTAGTGCCGATTGGGGATGTGTCAGTGATATGAAGCCCTAGGTAGTCAGGTCACTAGCTTGAGAATATGCTGCACAAAAATGCAGCAGACTTAGAAAGCACTGATATCCAACAGTGCTGTCCTGTAGGCTGCTCACAAAGTTTTGAGACTATTATGCCAAAAACAGTTGCTGACTCGGGATGAGCATATATATGGTTCCCACACACAGTGTCTAGGTAGACAGCGCATTATGTTTGAGACTGTTATACCCAAAATGCCTGCTTATTTGTGGTACTCTTATGACGCTGAGAGAGAGAGAGAGAATCAGTTTTGTTTTTTTTTCCCAAGATGGACAGCTCTATGACATAATCCCCAAAACAGCTGCTAACTCAGGATGTGCCAATATTATGATTCCCAACAATGTTGTCTCGCTAGGTTCGTGACTATGACATTTCAATACCTGCTTAACCAGAATGTGATCACCTATAAAGTGATGACAAAAACGATGCGGATTTGGACCAATAAATTCAGCTGGGAAAAAAAGACCAGATAGACAGTTGGACTATGATGTCCCAAATTACTGCAGATTCAGAATTTACCTACAATATCATGCCATTAAAATGCTGTCTATGTAGTCATCACATTAGCCTGGAGACTATCTCTTAAATTGTGCTGGTGATTTGGTATACGTATGTGTTATGATGCTAAATAATAATAACAATAACACTACTAATGTCAAGAGAGGCAACTCGCAAGCTTTCACATTATGATCCCCTAAAACGCTACTGATTTTATGCTTTGACGCCCAAATCTGCTGCTGATTCGGGATGCGCCTATATGTTATGATGCCCCCCAAACGCGGCCCAGGCAGTCCGCTCTCTGACGAGCGTTTGAGACACAGCCCCTGTCAGTCTGTGAGTGGCTACTGACCCGCTCTCTCTCATCACGTTCCCGTCCCCGCAGTCACAGGCCCCGCCGGCCTGACTCCGGAACATGTTAAAATCGTGGCCCGTGTGGTCGCCGTTATTGAAGCACTCCGCACATAACGACATGCACGGCGAGATGCCGCAAGTCCGGCAGCGGTACGCCACGAAGTTGGCAGTCCACACCAGCCCGCAGAGGGTGGCGTTATCGTAGGATCGGACGGCCCGGCAGAACTCGTCGAAGCCGTCGCCTCCTGCTAACAGCCATTTACACCAGTCCAGCGCCTCCGGGTCCGAGCCCCGCTCCGGGTGCAGCACGCTATCCAGCAGCTCCTGCAGCTGCCGCAGTCCCGAGCTGTTGTCAGTCCTCTTGAGGTCAGCTTTCAGATGGGCGGCGGTGGATTTCTTGTCCCGGCGCAGCAGCGACGCCGCCATCATGCGCTACGGGTTTGTTGTGCTCACTTTATTTTGGTTGTCTCGCTGCTGTGATCGCGGCGTTTCTCGCGAGGTCTTGTTGCTACGGCTCTCTTGCAAGTCTCGCGAGAGTGGCTCTAGAGTGGCGTGAAACGAGGCACTAAAAGAGGCAGCGATTTGCGGATCAGAAATTACCGTGGCATTTAGCAGACGTTTTTTTTTTTGTAAGAAACAGCGCAAGTAATTTATAATAAAGGAGGTAACAGTATTTGCAGTGCCATACGTTTTTAAGAAGCTATAGTACAATACAAGTTTTGAAAAACTGCAGTGAACCTTTTGTTTAAAAAAATTGTCTCTGTAACTGATCAGATAAAATGGGTCGAAAGGAATTTTTATTCCTAATTTAACTTCCCACTGTGTCTTTTCAATTCATAATAATTATCAATTCATCCTTATATTACTGTAATTTATTGACGGTAAGGTCACGTGGTACCTGTTACGTTTCTCAGCGCTGGTAAATATGGACCAATCAGCTGTTTGAGATTAATGAGGTTAGAGTAATGATTTAAGCGAGATTACTGGGTCAAATTTCAATTTGGATGACTGGTAGTCCTATTTGTAATTAAGAGTTTTATACGATTATGCTTTTTAGTGTACACGTTTCTACAATAAGGCACAAACGTCCTAATATTTGAAAGCGTTTCAATGGAGGATTCCGTTTTCTGAGCCGACAAGCGCCTTCTTAGAGAGCAATGTCGTTCTCTGCGTCATACAAACTGAGCCCGGTGTTTCTCGCGAGGTTTTGTAAGCGTACTTTGTGTAGTTCGTGTTTTTCTCGCGAGGTTTTGTAAGCGTACTTTGTGTAGTTCGTGTTTTTCTCGCGATGTTTTGTCGTTTGATTTCTACTCGGTGGTGTGGGGCAGGGTGAGATTTGCTTATCTGACAAAAGCACGCTGGTTACTAAGACTAATTTAGTCGAATATCTTGATATATTATTACTCAATGTCACTAGTAAACAAGTCTTTATGACTCAACAAAAATACTTTGTGTTTGTCCACTAGGCATCATTCATCTTCTTTTGGTTCAGGTAGAAGGATGTCAGATGACACAAACCTTAACAGTGTGAGGTACCTTATATTGATTTATCACCATAAACAAAATTAAGCCGAATTTTAGGGCTGTTTTGCACTTTGTGACATTACTTTGATACACACACACACAGATTCAAGAGCACATTCGTCACCGAAAAAAAAAAACTAGTGCTGCAGTGCGTCCCAATTTGCATACTATCCATCCTAAATAGTGTAAGGGAAACAGTGATAATTTAGCTCAAAGGGAATCATTTAAAAATGGAATTGTACGAAAATTGGATTAGTATCTCCCAATTCTATATTGAAATAAGTATGCCAAAGATTCCCGGATGGTCTATTACTTCCAGTTAGAATTTGAAGTGCAGATCGATACACACTCTAATGACTAATGGTACGTTCAAGTCATGTCGGATAGATCGTATTTACGAGTTGAATGCACATGAACGCCACCAGAGTTAACAGACCCTGTTGTATTTTCTTGTAATTTATTAAAAGAAGGTACACCGCCATCTTGTGCCGACTAAACTGACTTGAACGCACCTGACGTCGTAATTACGACTTGTCAGCTCGTAAGTAAGAAACGTCCCAGGAGGACTTGAACGCAGCATAATATTGCCCACAACACATTGTGTGTTGGACGAGGATTGGATTAGAACTACAAACCAAGCAACAACCTTCCGGTCTCTTGAATCCAAAAAGGAAGTGACTTAACCTGCAATTCATCGACTGGCCAAATGCTCCACATGCTCCAAAAGACCCATAGACCCCCAACTTTACAGCAGAAAAAAAAATATGTTTACAGCCTGGTTACAAAAATTGGTTTTGGTGTATATAGCTAATTTTGCCCTTCAGGACAACTGTGAGGGGGGTAATTTTTTTTATAACTCATCCATTTAAATTATATTAAGCCATAAAGTTCTGCATAATTAAGGGTGTGACCACTTGAGTGACAGGTGGACTGCCGCTGCTGTCACTACTAGCCATTTACTTTACTTTACTTTTAGTCATTTAGCAGACGCTTTTATCCAAAGCGCACGACACTGACAAGGTACACAGATACATTTGTCTGCTGTCTGTTAGCCGTCACGTCATCTCAGCTAATTCCAGATAGTGAAACCAAGTATGTGTGTGTGTGTGTGTGTGTGTGAGAATGCTTGAGACTTGAGTGCCCTGATAATATCAATAACAGATAAATAGTAATTTCAAGTTTTGTTGTGTAGTTTCAGGTTAATTTACCTCAAGAGTAAGCTGGAAACGTTCAAATATCAGCCGCCAATATCTTCCATCCCAACCGCCAATGCCCCTGACTAGCAACTTCTTTGCTACCAGTAGCATATAGCATTCCTTAGCCTGAGCTAACTTGATCACGTCAAGCTAGGCGGGTGTGGTTTCAACAACCAGGCACCTCAGCTCCACCCACGTCCCGCCTCTTTGCCCATTTTTGATTTTACTGGGAGTGATGTGCTGCCAAGATGGCGACGGCTGGCTCCGCCCACTTTGGGCTTCAAAAATGCTCTTCAGAAACCTACGGTCTATGCTACAAACATGCATAAAAAATGTAAAAAAAAAAAAAAACTACAAACATGGCGGATATGCCAGACCGATGGGCAGGTGGAGAAAGGGGTTTAAAGGGGTCATATGATGCGATTTCAATTGTTCCTTTCTCTTTGGACTGTTACAAGCTCTTGGTGCATAAAGAAGATCTGTAACGTTGCAAAGACTAAAGTCTCAAACCCAAAGAGATATTCTTTATAAAAGTTAAGAGTCAGCCACACCTACCTAAAACGGCTCGTTCTAACACGCCCCCACATGTCTACGTCACAGTGTGGGAAGATTTGCATAACGCCGCTCAAATGTTCACGCAAAGAAAGAAGGCGTAACTTTTCTTCTCGTTGTAGTATTGTTGTTGCTGCCGCCATTTCGTGAAGACGCTGTGTGCTTCGTTGTGAAAGAGAAACTACTTTGTTTGGTCTTCCAAAAGAGGACGATATCCGCTTCGTCATGCCTAGAGCTGATCCGTGCTGGTCGCTGAGGGAATACATCAACTTCACGCTGTGGATCGCCGGATCGGCTTTCACCGTGGACGAAGCGGAGTCCAGCCCGGGGTCGCCACATGTGGTTGCTGCTCCTTCGTCGGATCCGCCGGCCGCGCCGTTCTCAAGCCCACCACCTCCGCTCACTCTAGCCCGGCCTCAGCTCACGCTAGGCCGCTGTCAGCTCACGCTAAGCCGCGGCTTCCGCTCACGCTAGGCCGCCGTGTTTTTCGTTGTGAAAGCGAAACTACTTTGTTTGGCCTTCCAAAAATGGACACGACTAGAAATCAGTGGTTAAGTTGTATTTACTTACGCTGCGCGATGCAATGCAACGCAAAGCGTAAAAAGACAGTATAAGTCATTATAATCAGTAATTATGTCCCCACTGGATGCAACAAATGCTTCGTTTGTAATGGGTTTTAATGTTTTTGTCTCTTCACTCCGGCCGGGACACGGCATCAACAGTATGGTGAGGGGCGTAACATTTCCGTCACACGCTTGAGGTATTCGGCCAATCACAACACACTGGATAGCTGGCCAATCACAGCACACCTCGCTTTTCAGACCGATGAGCTTTGTAAAAATCGACGCGTTTCAGAAAGGCGGGGCATAGAGGAGAAACAATAATGTACAGTATGTGGAAAATAATGTTTTTTTTACGTTAAACAGCATAAACATTTCATTACACCAAATACACAAAATAATGTTCTTTTTAGCAGCATCATATGACCCCTTTAAGTGATAAATAATCAGTGTCTAACCTATGAAAAAATATTTGCCAAATTTGTTTCGACAATATCAGATGAGTCTTTCTTTCTTTCTTTCTTTCTTTCATTTATGCACTGCTGGCTGTATCAAAACAGACTAAATAAAATCCACAAAGAACTTGTCTCTTAAAAATCTTTTGTTATTTATGTTTGGCTACAACCAAACTATATATAGGCTACACATTACTGCTCATGGATATGTTATGTGACATCAGAATTACAAAGTAATAGTACTTAAAAAAAAAAAGAAAAAAAGAAAAAAAAAAGAAATAGGCCAGAACTGACAGCAGGCTGAAAAATGTTTAATAATATTAATCACAAGAAACAGCTAAACCAGGGAAACAAACCCAAACACAACAACAAAACATTCATGAATGGACAAGAGCTGATAAATGAACAAGGGCAACATCAGGGCTTATATACACGCACAGGGTAAGTTAAAGGGTCAGTTCACCCAAAAATGAAAATTAGCCCATAAATTACTCACCCTCAAGTCATCCTAGGTGTATATGACTTTCTTCTTTCAGACGAATCCAGTCGGGAGTTATATAAAAAATTGTCTTTGCTCTTTCAAGCTGTTTCATGGCACTCAGCGGGTAGTCAGCGGG